TATTTTTTTTTGCTTTTTTTAACTCAGAAGTACCACTGCAGGACTTGGTTGTGTATTAGCGCAAAAAAAATCCCACTAGCTCACCACATGGCGGAGCTGTCTCATTTCCAACATGACTTCCTCCTTGGTGTCACTCAAACAGATTTTCTAGGTATCAACTTCATGTAAGTATTACTACTAAACTCAATTAATTTGAAACCAAAGCTGTATGAGATGAATTATGAACATATATAGATACAGTACATGCTAATTAGTAGATTTTATCTCCTCTGAATTTTTCCCCAGGTGCAGCTTTATTTCAACGTTGCAAATTTGCAACGTTTGGCCGGACAGGTACCAATAGATGCCACATGCTTTATCTACTAGTTTGCCTATATTTTGAGAAACAGTTTATCCATGTTTATTTTCCTATCACTAGTGTCCACTTATTACTTATAGGTGCCATTGAGGATATATCCTATGGAAAATGAAATGATTTGGAGTGAATTTACTAACTATCAGAGTCAGATTTTATCAAAAGCAATGGTATATTACGATGTTTATTTTACTGTGCAGTGAGGAAAACTGATGTAGCCTAAATTCCATGGCACATATATTAGTGCAGCTCTTTGTTTGACTGAAAGCTTTTCTTGGAACAGAATTCTCTCTTTGCAGGTGTGGTGCATTATGGCAGGCCGAAAAAGATTGTATTCAGTCAGGGAAGCCATTGAGATGGTCCACCTTCCGGATGGAGCTTTATCTGAAACAGAATCCATTTCAGACGATGACATTGCTGATCCAAATTTTGAGCCAACTCCTGAGTCTGACTCCAGCCGTGATGATGATGAGCCACTGGCAGCAATAGCAAGAGCTAATCCACGCCACCTTGATGTTGAAATTCATAACGTACATGCAGACAGTGACACTGAGTCCCCAGATGACGATGAACCTCAACCAGGCCCAGCTCCAGTCAACAAAGTGTTTTCATGGAGGCAGAGGAAACCTCCAGCAGCTGACATAGACTCTTCATTCGAAGGACCTGCATTCTCACCTCCACCGGACGAAATACAAAGTCCAAAGTGGTATTTTGATCAGTTCATGGACAAATCCGTGTGTGAACATATTTCTCATCAATCTAACCTGTATGCAGTTATGAAGAATGCCCCAGAACTGAAAACAACTCCTTCTGAAATGGAGCAATTCATTGGTTTACACATATTGATGACCGTAGTACGTATGCCGTCGTATCGCATGTACTGGCAGACAGCGACACGTTACGACCCAATTGCAACAGTCATGGGACGTAAGCGATTTGATAATCTGCGTACATACATCCATATGAACGACAATAGCAATATAAAGCAAAAGGGTGAGCCTGGATATGATCCATTGTTCAAGGTGCGACCAGTACTTGAGGAAGTCCGTACCAACTGTTTGAAAGTTGAACCGGAAGAAAATCATTCCATTGATGAGCAGATGATTTACAAAGAACAAAAATTGCTTCTTGGAGTACCACACGAAAATGTGACTTTCAGATATGGCCTTCTTGATGAGGATTTGTAATGCCGCAGTTATCGGCATCATGTTTATGCTTTTCTCAAGTTATTTCTAATTTTGTTTTTTACAATTAGAAATTCTATATTACTATTGTAATTTTTTTTTTCTCCATGTTTTACTCATCTACACCAAGTTTTTGTATTGTTCTTCTGCCAATGTAAGCACTTTATAACATTGTCTTGAAAAGTATACAAATAAAGTTAGCGTTGATATTATAATCATAGTCTTTGGTGTTCAAGTACCACACCGGGCCAATGTTGCAAATATGCAACATCCCAGAACACATTGCACGTGAAGGTCACGCTAAAAAAAAAGGCAGGATTGTATATTACTACCCCATATGATAATTTCCCCAAAATTTCAGATTTTTCCTGTTACTATATCTTAATTTGGCCCTGAGAGGGTTAAATAACAGGTACAGGACACATCATTTTGATAAAATCACATCAAACTCTCCAATTCTGCTTTCCATCACATTCAGTCTTTACAATTCAATTCAATTCAACTTTATTCCGGACTCACAGTCCAATACAATTAAATAAAATAAAAAATAAAGCACAAGACAGACAATTAAAATGGCATTTTAAAAAGACAACCATGCCAATGTTTCCACAAGTCAGATTGATACCGTGTCGCACTCCATTTTATATTCGTGAGGGACACTATTATTTCATTTTCAGACGTGTTCAATCGACACATAAAGCTGTACATCAAAGTTCGTAGCACGGCCTGTAAAGTGTTCACTCTGGCATTAACAAACATTTCTGTGGCACTTGACCATCTCGGCTTTTTCAAAAGCACACGCAAAGCATCATTATAGGCCACCTGGAGCTTACGCATGCTGGCTTTCTTATAATGAGACCAGAGATGAGCTGTGTATAAGGGAGTACAGTACGCTTTAAATAACGTTAGCTTCACTCTCTCTGTACAACAGCCAAACTTCCGTGCCAGGGTATTAGCCTGGGCATACAACACTCTGCATTGTCTGTAAATGTCATCATCATCAGACATGTCCTCAGTGATGATGTGCCCGAGGTACTTGATTTTGGTGACAACATGCAAAACATCATTACACAAACAAAAGTTAGGAAATGTCAGGTTCTTATCTTCCTTGGTTTTAGAAATCATAACCACACTCTTCGAACTGTTGTACTTAATATCATGTTCCAGACCATAAGTTGAGCAGATATTAAGGAGCTGCTGTAAACCAGCCGTACTTGGACTAAACACGACTAAATCATCTGCGTACAAAAAATGGTTCATAATAGTTCTTCCAGAGACACAGCCAGTGTGACAGTCTTTGAGTTTAGATGACAGTTCGTCTAGATACAGGTTAAATAACACTGGGGACAGAACACCCCCCTGTCGGACCCCATTGCTCACTTTAAAAGGGGTAGATACACTGTTCCCCCCATTTTATTTGCACTGTTTGCTGTGAGTACCAGTATGCTAAAAAACGCACAGCATAACTGGGTACACCTTTTTGGGCTAATTTCAAGAATAGTTTTCTATGATTGACCCTGTCAAATGCTTTTGAAGCATCCAAAAAGCACATAAAAACAGAAGAATTTTGTCTTCTATATTTAGCAATTACCTCTTTAAGTGCAAATATACACATGTCAGTGCCTAACCTGGTCTTAAATCCAAACTGGTTATCCGTAGATCTCACAAGTTTGAGAATCCTTTCCAAAAGGACAGCTTCAATGATTTTAGACACTATACTAGCCAAGGCTATCGGTCTGTAGTTATCTGAACAGCCAAGCTTCCCAGTTTTGTTTTTAATGACTGGAACCAATAACACAGCTAACATAGAGTCTGGTATGAAACCATGCACAAGAAAAGCTGTGAAACAGATAGAAAGCAGTGGGGCCAGCCTCACACTTGCAAACTTTAAGTGCTCAGCAGAGATTCCATCCAATCCTGTACTTTTGTTATTAGACAAATTGGTTATTGCCCTAAAGACCTCACTTGTCATAATTACGTCAACATTGTCAACATCATTTACAGTATAGAGTTCACTCGGAACACAATTAAACAAACTGCGGTAATGCTGCCGCCATAGTTCTAAGATGTTCTCAGTACCAGAGGCACCATCCACCACACAGGGCAGAGATCTTTTATTCAAAGATATTCCTTTCACTTCCTTCCAAAAGTCGTATGCATTGTTACAGGAGAGTTTCCTGGCCATAGAATCAGCTCTCATCGCTCTCTCATTTTTACTGATGTAGCGCACAGCATATTTATACTGGGCATTAGTTAGCCTTTTATGTTCAAAAACAGGCCCATATCGAGGTTTCCCCGCCAGTATCCATTCTGTAGAAGCCTCCCGAGCTCTAGTATAAACATCCGCCACATGATCATTCCACCCAGGCCTTACCCTCTTTTTAGATTTTGGTCTTCGAAGGGGTTTACATGACTCGTACAGCACTTTAACAATATCCTCATACATAGAACTGATGACAGATTTGTGATCAGAATTATTGCAGTTACCATCTCTACACATCATAGCCTCTTTTGGCAGATAGATATTACTCAAAAGAGTGTCTGTGTTCATAGTGTACAATAGTATATCCTCACTAGAAAGACAACTCCAATCAATGTAGGATGTACCACTTTCAATTTTGTAACTTTCTGTCAGGGGCAGAAAATGACAATTTATTTGCATCCCAAGTGGAATGTGGTCAGCAGTTGCAAATTCATAGTAAATTTTTATATTCACCAGAGACGCATGGGCATCTGCTGTAGCTATGCAGTGGTCCAACCAAGAGGTTGTATGCCACGCCTCACTTATGTATGTAAAGCTATCAGCTGGCAAGAGAGCTTTAGTAGATAATATCAACCCATTATCCTCACAAAATTGGTTCAGTTGGAACCTATTTGTTTTGTTACGTAAACATATTTCAGTGCTGGAGTTTTTATAATATTTTTTTTTTGACACCAATATTTTCACATTTACGGTAAAATAATACAACTTCTGTGAAAAGGCCACATCAGTCGAACACTACGGCCATTCAATTATTGTATACACGTCCAAGAATAGTAAATAGAGTGCAATTAAGCTTTTAAGTTCTTTGCCAGAAAAAAAAAAAAATATCTCTTCATTATTCTCTGTAATCTCTGTAAGAAATCATGGTTGAAATATCTTTTGGAACATTCAGTTCTGATCAGAATAATGAGCCAAACTGGGAACAACACTGTAAAAAATACCGAAACTATTGAAACAAGACACTCATTGACACCACAATAAATGTTTCAGAATAAAAGAACTGGCATAAGGCCGACCACATTGTAAGATTAAAGTGTGTTTGTGTAGGGAAAGACGCACACACCCACCTGCACTAAGCCAGAGTGCTGGGCCATAAAGTTATGTGCCAAAAGGAAAAAAAGACTTCATGATCCCAGAATCTGTTCAGTTCAGTCCTTTTCCACGACCACCTGCTCACAGACACAGTGTTGCTCCTCACTCAGTTGAAGTGATAATAATCTTTTCCTTCTTCCAGTTGCAGTGAGTTGAGATTTTCCTCAAAAACACCTCCGGTCATGTCCTTAAAGTGCCACAAAAAGAAAAATGCATTAATATTGTTCACTAAATAACTAAAAACACAGTCTTCAAAATCAGACTCGTCCATAGTCTGGCCCACGGGCCAATCACGGTCCTCAGTGTCATATGATGTGGCCCTCTTTGCTAACCCATAACCCTTGCTTACCATTGAGATCATAAACACAAGTTCGCAATGTCACCCAGCTTAGAACCTTTTTGTTTGACTGTACCCACATGTATTAGTGATCGTGACAAACAATTCAAAATAAACTGATGAGAAAGTAACATAGTTTTTAATTCAGCCCGAGCAACCAAAGTTTATCGCCATGTGCGTAGTAAAACACGTTATTAGCGTGTTTGTATGTCCAAAAAAAATAAGTACAATGTATTATTACAATTTAAGTATGCAATGACATACTGGCTTGTCTCCCTTAAGAATAATAATGTTAAAAGGATGTGGACCATAAAGTTTATAATATCAATTGTGCTAATCCCAGTCACTGATTGACTTGTGCAAAGAAACCGGTCTCTCTTCACTTTAGTGTGTAAGCTGCTCTGTGGTTGTGTTAGCGGTCAAATACTAATACATGAAAACTGTCTGTAATTCGGTATGTTGTTCTGCAAAATTGCGTTGTACAGGTTTTGAAATGATTTGTTTGATTGATGTGAATTCTCATGATGTCCCAAAAAGATAGTGAGAGTTACAAGTTATCTTTAAACATTTCTTCTTTTGTGGAGCATCAGGTGGAGCACATTCTGTCCAGTTATGACTTTATTAATGTGAAAACGCCTCTGAGTGTGTCTAGACGCCTGAATGCATTTTTTCAGCTGAACTTTAAAGTGAAAAAGATTGAGTCCAGATCTCTTGATTGTAATTACTTCTCCCAATTCCCTAAATAGTGCAATTAGAGTTGTGTGAAGAAGGGGGAGCGAGCCCTGATGTCTGCGGCTGACGAAGAGGAGCGAGCCCAGTTGAATCTGAATGCTGTGGCGACTACTGAATGGTACATGCTGCTTTGTGTGCAATAGAAAAAGATTGAGGATGTAGAGGATGCATTCCAGTCCTGATCCGAGTCCTGGCACACTGATGTTTGCACAGGCAGCCTTTGATCAAAGTTCAGGCTCCTGTCGCCGGTCGTTTCCTGCGCGAGAGTCCCGCGCCAGGCACACGCCCAGAATCATTAAGTTGTTATGTGCGATTACAGAGCAGTGGGACAGGGGTCAGAAGCAACAAACACACAACATCTAAACATGTCTCATTGCACCCACCAGTTTAATGCAGATGATAAAAGGAGCGCAGGCCTCTTTGTAGAGAAGGACTGGGACTTTGGGTTTTGGCCTTTCCTGAAAGACAAATTGAACTAGATACATGTTTTCATGAATTTACAATTGAGCACAAGAGGTTTGCCAATGGTATCAAAAATCAAGTTTATTAGGGTGTATTCAGACCTGCACATTTGCTCCACTTTAAACAAACCAGGATTTGTTTGGAACTCTGATCCGAATCTGTTATGCAGGTCTGAATACACACAAACGAATCCTGGTCCGGACCAAAGAACCGAACCGAGACCCACTTTTTTAGGTGGTCTCGGTCCGCTTCCAAACGAATTCTGGTCCAAGTCGAATCAGGTCTGAATACATCCGGTGTCGATCCGACACAACTCCAAGATACGTGCGCATTTTTTGGGCTTAACAAGCCGCAGACAGAAACTGAGGAATTAGCCATGCAGCGGCTAACTATGCTGCTAACGCTACACAACAACACTGAGCCGTGTGCAGACTGGAGCAGTGAGGAGACGCTGTGCAACAGGCTTATGGAGTTAGAACTGTTCACAGTATACATTAATGTTAATGGCAGCATCTTCAAACCATTTGCATTATTAAAAGCCTGACGTGTTTGACTCACGTCTCAAAGAGCAATATTCCGCATCATGTAGTGAATTGTGTTCTTTGGTTCCTACCTGATCCTCAGCGTCTGTTTGTCCCATGGTTATTATAGATCCATGGTTTATCCACAATGCTGAACAGGGCCGTTATTACCATAGATCCATGTGTGGGACAGGGCACGGAGCGCACAGACAGTCTCCTTCGGCTTTCTCCTCACACATTCTCCGACGCTTTTCCAATATTTAAAACAACGTGTTTCACCTGCGTCATATGAGCTGCTGTTGATGTTGAAGGTGGTTTTGCTCTAAAAAGAGCAAACATGGGCAGAGCAGACATGCTGCACATACGAGCCCTCAATGTTTTCTGCCGGTTCCGCGTCTATCCTCCGTGAGCTCTCGCTGTCCAATAGGAGCCGATCGTCACACATGTCAATATGTTTATATAAAAAAGTTCACTTGCAAAAAGGACAGTCTGAATATGAACCGGAGCAAAAGAAAAAAGTTTGGTCCGCTTTTGATTCGGATCAAGCAAGCGGAGCAAAGGACTTTTCAGGTCTGAATACACCCTTAGATACTGTACTAATTTGAGCAAGTACAGATTTATAATATATATATATATATAATGATACAAACAGGACAACATTGCTGTTTTGATCATATCAAACTATATCAGAAGAACTTAAAAATGTGTTTATTTTTTAGTATCCAAAGTTTGAAATTTAGTGCTCACTAGTGCTAATCTAAATAAGACATTTATTGACCTTAATTTAGATTCCCACTGAGATTTCAGAATCTATTATTCAGGGGAGTCAGGGAGGGTGTTATGGGGGAATATTGTGCATGTTTTAATTCGCAGGGGAAACCGGAGCACTCAGGGAAAACCTCTGAGTGCCTCCGGTCTATTTGTGAACCATTCCATTGTAGATTTGGCTTTATGTTTTGGATCATTGTCCTGTTGGAAGATAAATCTCCGTCCCAGTCGCAGGTCTTTTGCAGACTCCAACAGGTTTTCTTCCAGAATGGTCCTGTATTTGGCTCCATCCATCTTCCCATCAATTTTAGCCATCTTCCCTGTCCCTGCTGAAGAAAAGCAGGCCCAAACCATGATGCTGCCACCACCATGTTTGACAGTGGGGATGGTGTGTTCAGGGTGATGAGCTGTGTTGCTTTTACGCCAAACATATCGTTTTGCATTGTGGCCAAAAAGTTTGATTTTGGTTTCATCTGACCAGAGCACCTTCTTCCACATGTTTGGTGAGTCTCCCAGGTGGCTTGTGGCCAACTTTAAACGAGACTTTTTATGGATATCTTCGAGAAATGGCTTTCTTCTTGCCACTCTTCCATAAAGGCCAGATTTGTGCAGTGCACGACTGATTGTTGTCCTATGGACAGACTCTCCCACCTCAGCTGTAGTTATCTGCAGTTCATCCAGAGTGATCATGGGCCTCTTGGCTGCATCTCTGATCAGTCTTCTCCTTGTTTGAGATGAAAGTTTGGAGGGACGGCCGGGTCTTGGTAGATTTGCAGTGGTCTGATGCTCCTTCCATTTCAATATAATTGCTTGCACAGTGCTCCTTGAGATGTTTAAAGCTTGGGAAATCTTTTTGTATCCAAATCCGGCTTTAAACTTCTCCACAACAGTATCTCGGACCTGCCTGGTGTGTTCCTTTGTCTTCATGGTTCTCTCCGCGCTTTAAACAGAACCCTGAGACTATCAAAGAGCAGGTGCATTTATACGGAGACTTGATTACACACAGGTGCATTCTATTTATCATCATCAGTCTTTTAGGACAACATTGGATCATTCAAAGATCCTCACTGAACTTCTGGACTGAGTTTTTTATTTGTTAATTTTTTTTAAATTATCCAATAAATTTCGTTCCACTTCACGATTGTGTCCCACTTGTTGTTGATTCATGACTTTTTGTTTGAAGCCTGAAATGTGGCGAAATGTTGAAAGGTTCAAGGGGCCCGAATACTTTCGCAAGGCACTGTATATGCTGACAAAAATAAAAACCCAATCCTATTTATCCATTTGAGAAATACCCACCATTCTTGTAAGGAGATTTTTACCTTTTCATTGTGTGATTAACGTGTGTATGATTAATTATCTCCAGCTCATGAGAATAGCGGCAGCCTCACCTTGGACTCCTCATACGTGTAGAATCCTTTCTTAATCTTATTCTCGTCCACGTCACAAAAGGCTTTGACCTTTGAAAAAACATACACAAGTGAAACCCTCATCTTCAAACATTACAGTAAAATACTTTGGTGGTGGTTGCATGCCTTCTTCTGATTGGCTGGACTGAGGCTGCGGTAGAGCTTCCGGCCCTGTTTGCCAGCGTTCCATATGGTGAAGCTCTCCCACTGGACCAGCACTCTCTCCTGCAGGAAGTCCACACGCAGCTTCCAAATGGTATCCCTAAAACATTGAAAACAGACAGAAATTAAATAATCTAAACTGTATAGACATTTTTATTATAACGGATTATGTTGGAGTCACTGCATCATACAATTTAACAGCTACTTTGTATTTAGGTATTACAAATCTGAGTAAAAACAACATCAACCCCGTCTTTGGGTCAAATTGACCCAACACAGTGACTAAAAAATACCCTTGATTTAAAAAAATAAAAAATCAATCAGAATTTGGATGATTATTCCGACCCTGACTTAGGATATTTTTCTGCTACTAATGCCAGAGAGAAAACTAAACATGGAGAGGCTGCAAAATGTGAGACAAGCTTCTTCTCTGACAGTGTTCAAATCCAGGTAAAAACAGTTCTGTTTAGCTGTTCATACAACTGAGGGATTTCCTCTTTACTCTTTTTAATGTTCTGTGATTATTGATGATTTTAATGACTTGTGTGACTGTCTCTGTCTTGTGTGCTAAACAAATAAACTTGCCTTGGCTTGTCTACTTAATAATCTGCGGTGGGTTATTTTGACCCAGAGGGAGCACAAGGGTTAAAAAACCCCACCTGCCTTCACCTTTCTACTTCAGTCATATTTTGTGTCATGCCTTATGACAGACTACACTATCTTCCACTTCCTTTGCTTTACACAAAATATTTTTCCATAAATAAAGTTAGTATTGCCCAAGCAAGAATACGAAAATAAACTAGTCTATATCATTTCTAAATCATGGCATGAGTTTTGAATGTAGCCAAAAACTACTGTTGTAGTCTTTGAGCTATGTGCACAGCTGCGGACGCCTTTCTAACACACCTAAAGCTGTTCAAACTCAAACAGAGGCCCAATTAGAGACATGAAGTACTCCACTTTCTGATCCAGAGTCTGCCCCAATCTAATCAAGGGCCTCAAATGACAAACAAACGTAACCCCTCAGCATTGAAGAGTGCGGGTGGTCCTCATATTGAACAGCTTTGGGGCTTTCAATACAGGCTTTGACTGCAGGACGTGACAGAGATGGCATATCGCATAGATCTATATACAAATGCTAATGCCTTGATTTTGCTAATATCCTCCCGATCACAACATGGGCTCTTAACATAAACAAGTGGAGATTAAACATGAAAATACCTCCAGGACACAGACTTCCCACAAAAAAGCATATGCTTGAACTCTCTTCTAGTATAATGGTCATGTTATAAGGATTTTCCAAAAAACTAAAATATCTGGTAACAGTGCTGGATGGAAAGTGACCAGACGGTTTTAAGGGAGGTGAAAGTTGGAAATAGTTGGTTGAACATAAACTACTCTAAGAATAGAACGACCAAAATAGACATTGACGGACATTGACGGACAATACAAAGACAAATAGTTGCGTCAGCGCTGCACGAGGAAGGAAGGGTCAAGAATAACTTTTGAACACTGGTTTAGTTTTAAAACAAAGTCATAATATATATATAACAGGGATTGACTCCTGTTGGGCCTTTGAGGAGTACAGGGACTGGCCTCCTGCTGGACTTTGAGGAGCACAGGGACTGGCCTCCTGCTGGGACTATGAGGAGCACAGGGACTGGCCTCCTGCTGGGACTATGAGGAGCACAGGGACTGGCCTCCTGCTGGGACTATGAGGAGCACAGGGACTGGCCTCCTGCTGGTGCCCAGAGTCAGGACTACATGACCAAATAAGTGATTGATATTGGGGTTTTTTATTGTCTTGTGGAGCTTTTTGAGTTGTCCTGTGTATGCATTGTGCTATACAAATAAACTTGCCTTGCCCATGATTATTTTAAATCTTAAAGGAATAGTTCACCGTTTTTACATACTGACATATGTTCTTACCTTACCTTAGACTAGTTAATACGTACCTGTCTGGTCTTAGTCCGTGTGCTCTGTCATGCAAACGGAGCAAAAACGGGAGCACAAATGCAGCCTCCTCTGTATATTTTGTAGCACCAAAAGGTAGCTCCCGCTAGAAGCTACCAAACTCTTCCAAGTGTTCCCTATTAAATGTATATAGTTACGTGACGTGTTACACTGCAAAGTATAGTAACACAGAAATGTAACAGTCGATTTTCTCAGCGGATAAAACGGGTACTATATTGTGAGGCGTAGTAATCTGAGGAGCGCTACGTCCGCGCACTAACTTCTCTCCGTACTACAAGTCACGCTGCTTCTATTGACGGAAGTGAGCGAGAGAGAAGTCTCCGGAGAGAAGTTAGTGCGCGGACGTAGCGCACCTCAGATTACTACGCCTCACAATATAGTACCCGTTTTATCCGCTGAGAAAATCGACTGTTACAATTCTGTGTTACTATACTTTGCAGTGTAACACGTCACGTAACTATATACATTTAATAGGGAACACTTGGAAGAGTTTGGTAGCTTCTAGCGGGAGCTACCTTTTGGTGCTACAAAATATACAGAGGAGGCTGCATTTGTGCTCCCGTTTTTGCTCCGTTTGCATGACAGAGCGCACGGACTAAGACCAGACAGATACGTATTAACTAGTCGAAGGTAAGGTAAGAACATATGTCAGTATGTAAAAACGGTGAACTATTCCTTTAACAGTACCCTTCATACCCATGAACTTTTCATCATGGTCAAACGACAAACACAGTTTTTTTTGTTTTTTTTTGGGTACGACCAACACAAAGCAAAAATGAAATGATAGATGATTTCATACATTTTCGGGTGTAAACGTGTTAATCACGTTGTTAACGCAAACTCGTAATTTTTTTAATTTAGCGATTAATGCAAGCACAAATGTGAGGCTGCTCCTGCTCCTGTAAAGACTATGGAGAAGTGTAGAGGTCAGAACCAGCCAGAGGACTGCAGTACCAGAAAGAGCATTTGCACAGGCATGTTTCCTCCACGACACTGCGCAGCAAAAATACGAGTGGGTCATATTTTGGGCAAAAATACCCAGATAAAATAATAACTTCCTGATGTGATGTTTGAGAGAAGAGGATCTTTACTCTGAAACGGAGTGAGTCGCAGCCTTTTCGTGGAAGCGGTAAACCAGGAGGCACTGGTCGACTCTCCTCACGCTCACAGCCTGACGCAGACTGTGGTAGAAGAACAGCAGGTCCTCGGGAACGCCCTGGAGACACACGGGGAAATGGATATTACACAAACAAGGGTTTCCCAACTGGTGGTATGCGGACCCCTATGGATATGCAATATACATGGATATACATGCGGTACTAGATTGGTTTTCAAGCGGTATTGGCTACTATGGCCCGCTACACATTCAAATCAATTCACAGAGCTGTTGCTAAAAACAGGTCAGAAAATAAACAGTTAAGACAAAAAAATATAGAACACATAGGTATTGGTCCATAGTGAGAGACCAAATCGCAAGTCTATCAAAAAAAACAACTCCATGCATTAACTATGGACACAATTAAGAATAATAATTGGTCTCAGTCAAGCTTTCTAAAATTATTGGTCCAATTTTGGTTGAGTCCAATCATGTACATAAAGATCAAAGTACCCTTTTAAAAAAAATGTTTTTTAAACAATCCGCTACAAAAGACGAGCGATAAATAAACTTGCCATAAATAAAATGATGAGACTGTAGTAACACGGTAAAGTATAAAAACAGTAAAAGTTGTGGCGCCCAACCAGCTCTGACCAAAATGACCAAGAGGACGTTCCTGCCTGACTCTGCGGGCAAAGGGGTGAAAAGGGCAAAAGCAATCACTGACAAACCACAATGAACACTGTACCTTTCCCCCTTCGTCAAACCGTCCAACTTTGTCCAAACACGTCCTGGAGCAAAACCAGGTTGGCATGACGACAGTGGGCCCATGAGACGTGAACACCTGACACAAGGGAAAATGTCAACACTGGACATGGGAAATACATTTGACGTGATTCTGCTTTAGGGCTCCATTAAATTATTTTTTATATAATTTATATGTTAAAAGTCTTATTAGACATGTGTGTAATTATAGACAGGGTGGACCTCTGGAATCGCTTCAGTGACAATATCAAAGAACACGTCAAAAACATGATATATTTTGATTTTTTTTCCCATTACTTATTGTTCAAACAATCGTAAAAAAAAAGGTTTATATTCATGTATTGTCATTCAAATGTCCAAAATGAGAGGTTTGCAGTGTTCCTTTTAGCTACCCAATTTTATGTTATGTACAGGGGGAACTGTTCAAAAGCAAATTCAATTAATTTAGTTTGTTATACTGTTAATGATTATGGCTTTTCAAAATATTCAAATTGTCTGATGTTTTTTTCTGTGTTTTTTTACAAGCTGTGAGTCAATTATTATAACAAACAAAATCCTCAATACATTTCAAATTCTTTATATTCTGCTCAAACAAATGATTTGAAGAAAAAACACATCAGCCTGAACACATTTGAGACTGTATTTTAGACTTCGACATCGAGACATGTTCAAACCATAAACAACAAAGATGTGCGGATTAATTCAGTCTTTTACAGGAAAACACAAATCCCACCACATCTCACGCCTGTAATGACTTCATAAACTTTGAATAACGGTTTTCGTCCACTCCCTTTAACAACCACGGCCCTTTTTGCACGGCTCGCTCCTGCTCTTAACTCTGGTCTCTTGATTCATCGGTTCTGCCCCCACCTCTTCCTCCTGCATGTTTCGTAACAGTTGTGCGTCTGCATCTTATCAAAGGGTCATCTCAGGCTGATTTCCAGTGTTTTCACTTGTTTCTATGTCTTATAACCATTGACTAGAACTGACCACATCTGGATTGAGATAGTGGAACAGCTGGGCCGTGTGTGTTTCCGTTCATAGTCCACCTACGTAGCTCCTTTCTGCTGTATTATTGCGACATGGTGAGCAGGATGGATGCGCCAGAACGAGGCTGTGATTCTGGGAAGCCACACTCAGAGTAGGTGGGGGAATATCGAGAAGAAAGGGGCGGGTAGAGAGGTCACGAGCGACCAGAACTAATGCTCTTCAGATGAGTACGTGGTTCAACACTAGTCCAGGTTAAGGCCCCGGTTTGTTCCAGGATTTAAACCTGTAGAGGAATAGGCTAAAGAAAGGAAAGAAATTAGATATGTGCCAAGAGGTTTCATGTATGACTATGATCTCATTCTCAGGCGCTATGAAACTGTATCTCGCATAAATATTCAGGAATGTCAGAAACGGCTCGGCCCGGTTGTCAGTAGTGCCTCTGTGTTCTGGGAGAGTTCAGTGTTTTAAGTCAGTAAGTAAGTAAGTAATCTTTATTTATATACCGCCTTTCACAGATCAGAGACACAAAGCGGTTTACAATTATGGGCATTTGTCTCACTTCACACAGAGATGGGAGCGGTGTCGCCAGTACAGGAGGCGCATGCCAGACCTATTGTACATGATTTTAATGGTAGGGGAAACCGGAGCACCCGGAGGAAACCTACGGAGACACGGGGAGAACATGCAAACTCAATTTTTATTCATCAGTAAAAACACAACACCATTTCATTTTATGTTTATATTCCTGTGTGATTGACAAAGTCCAAGTTTGAAAATGTAATGTCCACGAATGACAATGGGCCTCATTCACGAACGGTTCTTAGGAACAGATTTGTACGTAAATCCTACTTACGCGTTTTTTACGAAGAAAGTGGCATTCACGAATTTTTCTCGTAACCAGAATTTCTCTTGGGCAAGTACAAATCCTACGAGTCCTCAGGAGCACTCGTACGCATTCAGTGCCGACATGTTCACACGCCGGGGTTGTCCTCTTTGGTGAAGTTTAATAAAAATACAACATTCCAGTGATATTTCCGTCATATCGATGTATGTATTTATTTATTTGTAGTAATCTTTATTGTAATCTTTATTTATATACCGCCTTTTTCACTGCAGATCTGGCCTACTTTTTAATTCATTTTGAAATGAAATGTGCCAACACTTTATCAAATACATTGGAAATCTTGCCGTGTATTAGTGACCCCTTCCTATTTATAGGGGGCATTTCTTTATCCACGGGCCACAGAACAACGGCATATATACTGCTGCTGCAGGAGGTTAGTGGGTCCGCGCTGAGTCTCTGCGCTGGTCTCTCCTAGGATCTATACAGGTCTGCACTGGTCTCTCCTGTGGATCTAGACGGGTCTGCACTGGTCTCTCCCATGGCTCTAGACGGGTCTGCACTGGTCTCTCCATACGGGTCCGTGCCGCATGCTCCTGGATCCATACGGTTCCGCGCTGGTCTCTCAAGTCTGGTCTATGCGGTCTCTCTTCGGTCCGCGCTGGTCTCTGCGCACCGGTCTCTCCAGTCAGGTCACTACAGTCTATGCGGTCTCTCCTATAGGTCCGCGCTGGTTTCTGTGTGCTGGACACTCCAGTCTCTCCTCGGGTCTGCATTGGTCTCAGCGCTGGTCCGCGCTGGATCTCCTCCCAGGGTCCAAAATATTTTGAGATTAATCTCAAAACATTTTGAGATTCATCTTTAAAATAATACATCATATATTTTTAAATTAAGCTCATAACATTTTGAGATTAATCTCATCATATTCTTAGATTAATCTCATAATTTTGCTAGTTCGACTTTATTCTCATAATATTTCGACTTTTAAGTCAACATTTTATAACTTTATTCTCAGTCTGGCAAAAGAAGAAAAAAGGGTGACTCTTTTGCTCCGAGTAACTCTTTGCTTTAGGCCTGTTGCTGTTTCCTCTGCGTCTGCACACGGCCCTGCAGTCCCTTATATGGGCATTAATGGGCGGTTACTTATGCTAAGTATCTATGCTAATGAAGCACCTGGCACGCGCGCTCTACTTACGAGGAAATGGCATTCATCTATCTAAGAGAACAGCTGCGAACAATTCAGCGCCTTAAGAGCGCGTTGATGAATCCCACGTAGGGACTTCTTAGAAATCTACTTAAGGACAACTTGAGAAGAAATTTGAGAAGTTTCTTACGAAGTTATTCGTGAATGAGGCCCATTGTTCACAAATGTTATATAAATGAACAGGCAGAGAATTTTAATGCGGTTCATTTGTCTATGTAACTTAACTTAAAATGCTTAACCAATTTATGATACAGACTCTTAACATGCCATGTGACATAAGCCAAGCCTTTGTTTGTTGTCATTGTGAAAGTTATGGCTTACAGACCATTTTCAAAGATGTTTTATATGGAGTTTTTACATTGGAATGATATTTGAATGTTATCTGTGTGTGTGTTAAGTACCCTCTGCATTAATGGTGCTTTACACACGAATCAACGTAGCTTTGCCTCTAACAGTAGTTAAAATTAAGATGGAGAGATCCTTTACACAGTGGAGAAATTTCAGTGTTGCATCAAGTTACAGACAGTAGCAATGCGGAGCACACAGCACGAGAGAAATGAACAATAAGTCTATGCTAAAATAAAATAGAATAAAAACTCTGACTAGCATAATAAGCAACACCTCTAGCTTTAGCATAATAAGGAAGCAAATCTAAAATCTTCAACTTCAGCATAATGATCAATCTATCTATCTAAAATATTCAACTTTAGCATAATGAAGAAGCAAGAATTCAGTATAAAATCGCTGACTTTAGCAGAAAAAGAACTAAGTACATTTAAAAAAAACATGAATATAAAAACACTGCCGCTGTTATGTTCCAGGCCTCTGCGTAGGTTTAAATCCGGGAACAAAACAGGGACCACTATGGAACATTATATTTTCCAATTGTCGGCTCCATAAGTCAACACAGTGACAGTCGCAAAGCCCAGTGCAGTGACCGTCCTGTTTCCTGGTCCAGGGGATGCACAGACGTGTCTCCGTGGACGTTGAGCATACAGGTGCACTTCCTGTTTGTCCCTGACCTGGTGAACGCCTGCCACATGACCCTGTGCCCCGCTGCCCCACACTCCGGGGACGATATCTGCCACTACGACGGCACTGTTACCGAGCACCATTGCCACAGGATCACTTACCAATTGGTTGATAATAAATGATGATATAGAAAAGTGATTCTAAATGATTTCAGATAAACTGTATCTACATAATCTGCATTTATTTCAGGCCTAATTCCTAATGTTATCTTGTCATACAGTGCTGTTTCTGTCTGATGTTCACTTCTGCCCAGGCTGATATACCTGTGTGGAGAGCTGCTGCTGCGTCAGGCTGTTGATCCAACGAGTGTAACGTTCTGTGGAGCCTTCGGGAATCCTCTCGACCCTGCAGCCGATCAGCTGTAATATACAAACAATGCTATCAATACTAAACATGATGGGAATAAACCATTTTGTAGAGGTCGGCCGATATACATTGATTTCAGGACGTATACAGATGATTAGTCAATGTGGCTGGCCCCCTTACTTTTACTCTTGAAATATTCAGTATTAGACGCAGAACAGAACATTTCATTTAACAAAAGCTGTAGATGGCACACAATGTTGTTTGAGTTTGGCGGCAAGTCTGCTGTCTCCATGCTGTCTCCCTCACTTCCCTCACACACATGGCCCTTGACCCCTGCCAGTCAAACCGTCAACACCGGAAACTCGAGCCCTGAAAGCACTCTCCCTCTAACATACATAAACATGTTTGTTACGCATTGTAGTAGTAATTTTCTGTATTACAAGCATAAACAAGAAAATAAACAAATCAAAACAACAAACAAGATACAATATAAGCAGAACAACTCTTGTTCTTTCACAGACCAGAGTCACAACGCGGGTTACAATTGTTATTTTTGGGCATTTGTCGGGAAGAACATGCAAACTCCACTCAGAAAGGCCCTGGTCCGACCGGGGACACAAGACAGACACAATATAAGCAGAACAACTCTCGTTCTACAGTTTGCTGCTTACGTCTTTAAATAACTACATCCTTTTAATGAGGCAGTGATCATTGAATTATTAGATAGTCCCTCATAACTGTACGTAAAAACAAACAGAGAAGAGACGTGAGTGAGACTTACAGTGTTTGGGTGGTGCAGAGCGGCCTCGTGCTGTAACCGAACTCTTTGAGGCTTCATTACATCATCCTGAAGCACATGGAGCAGATCAATAGACTGACGTAAACGAACGCCTCAGCATCCCCACACAATCTCCATATCAGTTAATGATGATGATACATTGGTTTTGAATTGCGCTGTTCAAATCAAATAATAATAATAACTACACTCAAACTAGCTATGAGTTGTAAGCTTGAAGGAAGAGGTGAGTTTTAGCTGTTTTTTGAAGGTGTTGAGTCCGGGATATGGAGGGAGGTTCTTGACATGTATCCGTTTCTTTGCTTTGCTTTATACTGTACATGGGTTTACTGTAACTGTCCAAAAAAACATCATAAAAAGCATAAAGCAGGGTGTCAAACAGGTTCCAGAATGAGTGGAGTCCGGTGTGCTCCTGCTTGGGTGGAGTTAAAACTTGCAGCAGCCACACCGGGCCTTTGTGGAACCAGTTTATTTGCAAACCGTAGCACAATTCATACAAATGAAAAAAGATAGAGACAGTCGCACAAGGCATTTAAAAGAGTAAAAAGATAAAAAAAATCCCCCAGTTGTACGCACAGCTTATGTCATTATGTCTGATAATGTATAGTAATGTACTGTATCCATCTACTTTTATTTGACTGTTTTACAACAACCTGCTCAGGGACTACAGGTGTAGATTAGCACTGCTGTTACAACCTGGTTCAATGCATCTCTCCTTTTGGCTAATGTTTATTGTACACTGTCCCTGTAAAAAATAATAAATCATACCATATCATAGCTAAACAGAACTGAAAGAAGCCTGTCTCAGATTTTCAAGAAGATTGTTTCAGATTTAAGCTACATGAATCTGAAATGCAGCCTCCACCTGTTTAGTCCTGACTCTGGGCACCAGCAGGAGGCCAGTCCCTGTGCTCCTCAGAATCTGAGTTGGTTCATATGGGACTAACATGTCACTGATGTATGAGCATAAAGCCTTCATCCCATTCCATGCGTTGTCTATCTACTCCACCTTTTTGATTTGAAAACATATTTTAGTAATCTAGTCTATTCTAAGTCTAATCGGTATCAGCGATATGCATGTGTTAACGGGGCTTTCGGCTGTCGGTTGCAGGGATTCCTCTACCAACAAACTGTGGCCACTGACATACTAATAAGATAAGATAAACTTTAAGATAAGCACTCATGATGTAGAAATGTACATGCAATAAGTTTGGACTCATCCTCATCTTTGCAGTGAAACAACTGGGACAAACGAACTCTCAGGATTTACTCACGGCATCTTGGAAGCACAAGTATTGTCCGCAGCTTTGAGAAATGGCCTGGTTCTTTGCATATCCCACTGAAACACACAAGTCACCGTGAGTGTCCAGATTAAGTCAAATATACATTCAAAATTATTTAAGCAAGTTAGCAACCGTATTTTTTTTTTAAATGATTAGAAAACATAGCAGTAAAGAAATACACAACAAAAAGTAATATATATAAGATAATAAATGCTTGGATTCAGTAGATCTTTCTTTGACCTGCTTGAACAGAATTTGTCAATGGAGTAACAAGAACACACACATATATTTACAGCGTTTGCAAATACTGTTATAAATCCTAATATTGCAACAAAATAATATATTCACTGTTTCGATAAAATAAACGCTTGGATTAAGTGACTTTTATCTTTAAGTTTTAAGTTTGCTTTGACTTGCTAAAACAAAATTTTCCAATGGAGAAAGCAAAGCATTTAGTAAATTCAATTCTCATATCAAATTATATTCATATTTTTTGCACAGCCCAAAATTAATTGGTACCGTTCTTGGTCACAAACGACAGATAAATCAATGCTGACAAGATTTAAGCAAATGGCTGAATGTCCCGAAGCATCAAGAGTTTTCAGAGCTAAGTCATTCTAGCTTTTTTAAACATATTGTTGTCATTTTTTATTGTGAAAGAAATAGATAACTTGACTAAACGTGAATTAAACATTGGTGAATTTGCTTTCTCCTGCATCACAAAGACAAATAGATGATGTATTAATGAAGCCAAAAGTCCTCTGACCTCCTTTTGGTTGGGCTGAGTTGTGCCCAGAGATCTTCAGTGAAACTCCCCTTTTCTCAAGCTTTTCTTTCCAGTCATCCACAATTTTTCTGGAGTCATCCTTAAATAAACAAACGTACAGATTACAGTTTTGTTTAGTGTACTTACTTTGCCAAAATGAGCAAGTTTACAAAGAAATCTACAGCAAATGGTTGTGGTCTCATTACACATGTTTTCTGCTTTGAGTTCTTTAGATAAAGAATATTATTAGTATTGATATTGGTGTAAGATAAACATCTATGAATAGTGATAATAAAATGTTTATCAGTTCAAACAAAGGAAAAAACTAAAACATCTAGACTCACTTTCACACTAACATACGGGACAAGGGAATTTCCATGTTATAATGTTGGGATCTGCATAACCTTATTCTGCTGCCAATTCAACATTTAGATACAATGTTTATTTGTTGTAACAAAAGTAACCACAATCCTATATTCCAGGTACAATACATGGACCTACATTAAAGCATATTGAGATAACAATTGAAACATAAACAGCTTCGTGCGGTCCCCAGGTCACAGTGCAGCTGGTGGAGGACAGGAGGGCCTGGATAAACTACATCACTGTGCACTAATCTGGGATTGTATTCTGTACTTTCTATTTTTCCTAACTGCAAATATAGTTTTGTAGGCGACAGTTGGTAGAGCAATGGCCTTTGAGCTTGAAGGTCCTGGGTTTGAGCCCACCGCAAGACCTACTCCACCAACTCTCGCTGATGTCTGTCATTGTGTCCTTGGGCAAGACACTTAACCCACTTTGGCTATAAGGAGCACGGAAGTAATGTTCGCTGCATGCCGTGATGTGCATAATGTGTATGTGTATTCATCAAACTGAAATTTCCCCAGTGTGGGACGAATAAAGGACCTTCTTCTTCTTCTTAATTCAGCTACTATATTTAGCAATTGATTCTATCTTTTCAACACGTAAGCGTGGGTCTGGAGAGCCTGTGTGTCCGGACGGGACTTCACCAGCGGGGTATACTCTTGACAGCTGGAACAAGTTTCAGCCCCTCTGTCTGTCGACCCTGTCCATTGTAGATTCGGAAGACGTATATATCTTTGGCATTTTGGTGGTGGGGATCCTCCTGTTTGGGTTTGGAGCAGTTCTCTTCTACCACAAATTCGGAGGCATGGCAGTTCGCAAGATTCACGACCTGCTGGCCGACAAAATTGATGGGATGTACAAGGAGCTTAGCCGCGTCGTGGTTGAGAGCGCCGTGTCTGGACAAAGGAGAGTGGTTTTGGTGGAACAGTTGATAAAAGATCTCGCAGCTCGTTCACTCGAAGGGAATAAAACTCTGGAGTTGAGATTGAATGACATCGTTTGTCAGGCTTGAACTCTCTGACCCGGCTTGGATTTGCCCCTGTGTACGGAGGTCTGAGGGCGCCGCAATTCGGATTAATTGGATTTAATAGAATTTAAGGGCTGATCCACTTCCTAATGTGTCAGGTCTCAATTGTTTGGTGCTTTCACGTCTTGTCAAACAAATTTTCATAAATAGATATGATCACTCTATATCAGGGGTCTTCAACCTGTGGCTCGGGAGCTACCTGTAGCTCGCCAGCCACTTTCAGGTAGCTCACCAAAGGATTTAGAATTTAACACATGACCTTGAATGAATATAGTTTGAGTCAATACATATTTATTATAAGTATAAATTTAGGGTTATACAGTTTTATGGTATATTTTACAAGTGTTCTCCATGTTTTGTCGTAATTATTAGATTTTAATTACGACTGCATAAATGAGTAGCTCTCTACCTCTTCTTGTGTATGAAAGTAGCTCTCTGAATGAAAAAGGTTGGTGCTCTATATAAAACTGCCAATAGTGGATAATTCAGAGTTCTAGCAGGTTCATTCAGAGCTGAGTAGCAGCTACATACAGTGCTGGCATCGTCAAAGACAGACAGCTCCATGGATCCTGTGAAGTCCTGGTCGAGGATGGACTGCAGACACTCCTCCAGCCAAAGGGCGGCGTTGTGCACGGGCATGATGACGCTCTGGGGCAGAATCACACAAGCCTGAGCAGTGTATTTACAACCTCATGGCGTTAATACGGTTTGTTATCGGTCACTCACCACGTCCACACACGCATCATCTAAGCCCAGTGTTTCAGTCGCTTCATACTCACAGCTGCGGGGTCGTTTAGATTTGGGAGAATCCATGGTCTATTTACTCAGTTTACCAAATGTTTAAAATGACCCCAGCTCAAAGTATCTAAAGCGCTTCTTATACATGCACACCGTTTGTAAATACTGTTATAATAATCGGTGTCAAACATGATATTTACTGTTTTTGAGACTGTGCGAGACTTTCAAAGAAAATTCGGCTTGACGCATGTGGTTGATGTTATTCCATCACTTCCGCAAACACAAAAAAATGCTCTGCGACAATTGGCTGGTTGGAAAACGCACTGGCCTCTGATTCGTCCAGGTCTTCTGAATCAAGGCTAATTATTTACAATTTTTTAAATGTATTCTTTTGACACTGCGAACACTTTTGATTTGATTCATGCGTGAAACGGACATTAGAAATGAAAAATAAAAACTCTTTGCCAGGTCGGTTCGTTATGTTTATGATCCTAAGACAGACGAGTACATTAGTATCCATTAGACACATCTGAACATTTCTGTACTGTATACAAGCTTTATGAATATAATACAGAAGAATAACAGTATTTGCATAAATGTTGAATGCATGTTCAAAGTGTCCCTTTGCTACCACCCTGTGGGCAAGAAAAGAATCAGTCATTATTTAGTTGACAATGAAACTGACCACAGGTTCTAGTGTTGATACAATATTCTCTGTGCACATTTATATATTAAACATGTCCATTAATCCTGTTTAAATAACTTTGTTCTCAATCAATTAATCCTATTTAGGCTCATTATAATTGTAGGCAATACTTTTCACACAATTTAATGAAGAACAGAAGACTGAAATGTCAGGAAATTCCAAGGAGGGATTGATGATCAACCAGTCTATATATAAAAATAAAATGAAAACATGAAAAGATTTTGCAAACACCATATTTGTATTTATAATTTATTATACTTAATAGGTACTCTTCTAATAAATACATATGTACGAGGCTCGAGGCCTGTTTTATTGTCAGGCATTTCACATTCATACCAGGTTCAGTGCAGCAGAGTAAAATAACATAGATCAATTTCAACAATTTCAACATTACAGTATTATCTCTTCATCTGCTCATCACATAAACCAATACATCATAATTTTTGGTAATGATTGCCTTTGCGTAAATTATCATTTTGACAACCTGTTGGACTGTGAAACTACTCTAGGCAGACCTGAAGGAATACACTTAGATACCAACTTTATATTTATGTAATTGTTGATGCTGATGTCTGACCTGACATGAACATGTTATTGAGCTAAATCTGAAATAGACAAAGTGATTACCATAAACATGTATTCATAGTATATAGGGCTACCTGAGTCACTAATTCATTCAAGAAGTGCTTTTGATTTACTACCATTTCCCAAATACATCAGCTGTGCTAAAAATACTGTATATATTATTAATCCAGTAGTAATAAAATTATTGACTCTCCGGAGGGTTTGGGCGAAGGTTGGAGTCCTGTGGAAGGGGAGGGTGCATTCATGCTTGTGTCGGTGAAGCAGCAACAGAGGGGCACAGAGTGGAAGTGTCAAATCTCTCAAAAAGTGACAGACTGGTGGTTTATGAGGACTTCAGGCGGGATAAAGGCATTAAAGAAACCCTGTTGGAGAAGTGGTGTCAAAATGTTCACAGTTCATAGCAGCGAGTGTGTCTTGTGTATCAAAGACCCACTGATACAGTCCGGTTTGCGGGACATCAACACAGTACAGTCTCTGGTTGGTATCCGAGACAGTTCAGAGGAAGGGGTTGTTGCTCTGGCTCTGTGTGCGTGGGACCTGCCGCGGAGAGAGGGGCAGAAGAGGCTGGGGCAGGTTTGCAGGCATTTCCAGGATGGTGGAGGGAGGCTGGGTGAAGGACGAGGGCAGGATGGGGAGTGGGTGATGTAGCGGCAGAGGCAGAGAGGGGCTGTAGGAGAGCATGTGGGGAGGCAGCGGAGACGTGGACGCCGGGCGCATCTGGTTCAACGTGAGGCGAGGCTGGTCACAGTGGAAAGGGTTTGTGGGAGATGGACTGCTCAGACCTGGATAGAGAACAGATCTGTTAGCTGAGCAGAAATAGGCATGGCATTCCTCAGGAAAAATCTATCTGCGGCCAAAAACCATTTCCTCCAGGAGGGTGGTTGACTACAGGAAGAAGTTACTATCACACGCACATTCATCCACTTTCACACTTCTGAAAGCCAATGGATAAGCCCTGGCTTACCCAGTGGCTTTCAGCCAGGGGGCCCTACAGTTTTTGCTGGGACACCCCAAGTGGATTGGAATGTTTTGTCTTTCTAAGCTTCTTACGGTCAGGAGGACACAAATACTCTTTCCCCTCACTCATATGTGCATATACTACACAGCACTCCTTTGGTTTTAGTAAGTAAGTGAGTAAGTAATATTTATTTATATAGCGCCTTTCTCAGACCAGAGTCACAAAGCGGTTTACAATTGTTATTTTTGAGCATTTGTCTCTCACTCCACACAGAGATGGGAGCGGGGTCGCCGAACAGGAGGCATATGCCAGACCTGTTGTATATGTTTTTAGTGGTAGGGGAAACTGGAGTACCCGGAGGAAACCTACGCAGACACGGGGAGAACATGCAAATTTCACTCAGTAAGATCCTGTTCCAACCGGGATTCAAACCCAGGACCTTCTTGCTGAGAAGAGAAAGTGCTATCCACTCAGCCACTGTGCCGGCCAGAGTTTTAGTTTTTCAAACTAAGCAAACTTTCCTCTCATTCTTTATCAATCTTCACACATGTGTCTCTTCACTTGTATAACTGCTGATATTTTGTTTACTTTGATGGGCAAATATTACCTTAGTGTGAATAACAAACAAACAAAGCTGCGCTTACATTGAGCGCATTTAATGCAACAGAGTCAAATTTGAACATGTTTTTGGAAATACAGAAGAGAGAAGAGATCATGGCTAAGGTGAGAGGAGTAAGTGGAGAGAGAGTCATGCGGGTGTCAAAGAAACTGCGAGTGTGAAGATATTAAACTTAATGTTGCTGCAAGCTGACCAGATCTGCTATAAAACTAACATGTTCTCTTTCATAGTATGGGTGAGACATCCCACTCATACTACTCAGAGAACCGGGGTTATGCAAGTAACCTAAAGATTCTTTATCACATAATTGTTGTCATATCCTAAGAGTGGGTACCTGTAATGGACTGTGTGAGAGCACACCTGAGAGGAAGGGGTTGTTGTGCATCTTGGTGGGTGGGTTTGAGGGGATGAGAGTGTCCAGATTAACTAGAGAAGCTCCCGTAGGTCCTAGGAACGTCTCCGGCGTCCTACACAAGCGTGTCGCAGAGGCACCGACAGGAGGCACCAGTCGACACAAGTTAAACATCTCTGGGCTGGCTGTGTCTCTCCCGTTTAACTGCGGTTTGGCCAAAGGCTCTGTCCCAAACGAATCAGATCCTTCCACAGCAAAGGGGTCGTTGAGGGGCTTGGCACTGAAGAACTCCGCTTCTGTGAAAACAGTTAGATCGAGTAAATTACAACTATTCATGTCAGATTAAAATACTACAGAACTGAATTCTGTCAGCTTCAGTCATTACACTGTATTGATTTTGTTTGTTTCCCAGACACAGTTACTACAGCGCACCTGTGGGACTGGACGGCAGAGGAGAGTTGACTTGAGGATATTCTTGTCTGCTCTCTTTTTCAGTCTGTACTGAGAACGGGCCTGCCTCACCGTTTTCTGAGCAGAAAATAATGGTTAATTGTAACAGTAATTTCACAATTTTTTTTACTTAAGAAGTTCTAGAACGATTTGGAGCCTCACCTCGCTCAGACGGGCTGGGCCACTCCTCATGGGCCGCTGTAGATGGGACGTTCTCGGCTTCCCAGGGGTCTGTGGGGCTGGAGCATGAAGCCCAAGGGTTTGATTTGGAACGTGAAGGAGTTGGTTCAGTCCAAGGGCTGCCACTCACCGGACTACGAGTGTGAGCTCCTGTTAGAACACATTATATATAGTTATCTAAACCGCAATAGAAATGCAACGTCCATGTTTGGTTAAGAAAGGCCAAACTGTAGAATGCCTCATGGCCCTCATGATTCCTTAAATGATTGTTGTAAAAAAAAGACTTTGGGAATATGTATGATTTTGTTGTGAAGTTTTTATGGTTAAATATTGAATGGTAGGCAGGGTTCAAACCCGCTGCTGTGTTTAGTTAGCCCACAGAGAATTGTATGGGGCATGTCACTCACCAACAGAGTTCCAGGGGTCACTGTTGGCCTCAACTGGTTTTGCGCTCCATGGGTCGGAGGAGGGAGGAGGACCCTCTGATGACGGCCCGAAAATGTCAACCAGGTCCAACATGGCCGACTGTAAAGAAAGCAAATGTGAGAATTTCAAAGGACTTCTAGAAATAGAAAAGATTATCTCACACAAAGAAGATGCAGATGTACAGAAAGGCCACAAAAACATTTCATACAGACTCTCTAAAACAAGATGAACTGAAAGCACTCTCCTACAAAATCTAATAAAGGCTTTTGTTCTACTCGGCGGAGGCTATGATTCAACAGAACTCCAGAATTGGTTTGAACTCCAACAGGTCCAACAACAGATTCAATTACAATTTTGTGTAACCACTCTTTCACTTGTTTTAGAGAAAATGGGCAATGAGTGCAGGGATGATCTGAACTTAACGTTGCTTACTATTAAACTGAATATACAATATATTTCAGGCAAACGTCATGCTGAGCCCAAGGTTAGAGACGATAGAGTAATTACTGTGCAGCTCTTTTCTGCTGTTACTGCTGAAGCTCATTATACTTATTCACGTGTCTAGTTCTTGTTAGTCTTCGCACTGTTCAAACTTGAACCACCCACAAAACCAAATGCAGCCGCCCACAATCAATGCTTTCACGCACACAGTGAACCCATAGGTCCTGAATGCACCCACACACACACAAAAATAAACACAATCACCTCCGGAGCCCCTGCCTGGCTCTCTCTGCGGCTCTCGTCCAAGGCCTTCTGCAAAAGAGACTCGTCTCCTTGGCGACAGCGTTGTTCCTGCAGGCAGATGACACATTTATTTGTATCGAAGAGTTTTTCTTTTTCAGAAATTAGGAACATTTTACTTTACCTAACTTTAATTATTTAACACTAATGAAACCAATCAAAAACAACAACATGCGGCAGACTGAATTAAACAGAGCTCTAGATTGCGATATTATATCACAGATGTGATATAATATCGCCCAGGGGTTTTACGGTTTGTCCATTCTCTCGTCAAATATCCTGTTCTCAAGGGTCCTCCTCAATGACTTTTCTCAGCTTGGTTAACCCAAATTGCAGGAAAGGGTACCCATTGGTAGGCCCCCTCACTCCCAGTCAGTGACAACGCCAGTGGGTCATGTTGGAAAATGCATTTGTCTATACGCATGTTGTGTGCGTGTGTGTTTGTTTGTGAAACATGAATATAAAATTGGTACCAAAAACAAAAAGAGAATATGTACCAACTTCAATCTAAGGCTGAATGTCTCAGAACAGATTGTTCTGAGACTAGGAAGTGGATTATTTTATCTTTTTCCCAATGAATTTCTATGGATAAAGCAGACTCAGTATGTTGCATTTGTTATTAGATTCCATCTCCATGGTAACAGGGGGAGGAAAACCTTGATGAAGAAGCTGAGCAAATATGTAATGTAACTATAACAATGGTTGATTTGGTTTGTCTGAAGTAGATCATATTTGATATTTATTTCACCTTGTGGCTCTCCTCTCGGCTCATGGCGAGGGCCAGTTGCAGCTGCAGCTCCTCCTCTCCGCTGGTCTGAGGTCTGGCCTGCTCCAGGTCTGAGGCGGCTTGAGGAGAAGATGACGACGCTGAACAGTAATGAGACGTTCAGTTAAGCATGGGGATGTAAGTAACTAACAAGTTACATTGCAGATTGTGACACAAAAGGAAAGCAGGGTTGAAGTGGTTCAAATCTAAGTGAATTCAGTCATAGAGGTTAGCCATGCTTCTAAGTTCTGACAACTGTAAACTATAAAATCCATGTACCTAGTTCCCCGTTCTAGTTTGGTTCTATCACAGGTTTGCACAGGCAGGAATACAGAGTTGTTGACTTCTGTCATATCTTTGGATTTTGACTCATTCAAATCAATCAGCTCATTATGTAAATTATAACAAATAACAATAAATACAACATGAATGTCGGAACAAACAAAATGTATCAAAATGTATCTATAACACAAAAGCAAAGTGAGTTGTGTTTGTTTATTATCTTATTATTATCAGTATGAAGCATTTCTACAACAGTATAAAGCTGTTTAGGTGTTTAAATGCTAAATATATTGTCTATCTATTTTTAAGAAAAATGCAATTACTTTTATGTTAAGCTTTTTTTTACTTTTACTTGAGTTAGGGAAGCATTGTAATACTTCTATTTTGACCAGAGGAGATAATATAGCAGCATGTGAGATAGATGTAAGGCAATGTAAACTATTTATTATGTCCAAGAGAAAAATTGTGCTGGGAAACATTGAATGAAAAGTGAAAGTGACAAATTATACAATTGTATTACAAATAGATTACCACAAGTGTCCAAGACTCACAGTTGAAAGAGGAAGGGGAGCCTCTGGAGCGGCTGAACTCTTCCCCATACAGTACGGCCATGCTGGGCTGACTGGTGCGCCTGCCTGGGTGATATGATGGAGGGATGCCCCCGTACGCGCCCGCAGAGCCCCCTCCACCACTGCCCCCGCCTGCCATCCTCTCCTTGGTCTTCAGGGCCTGGCTCCGCTCCTGCCGCAGCCTCTCCTCATCCTTCAGCAGACATACCAGCTGCCGAGCCTTTTCCCTCACGTTAGCCCCTTGATCCCGACCATCACGATCGATGTATTGAAAGTCCCGAAGGGTCTACCGAATAAAACATTATTTAAAAGTGGAAATGACAAATCAAGGAACTTAAAGCTAGGGTATGTAACTTTCAAACCACACAAAAAATAGAACCATGTCACGAGTTCCTGGTTTGAAACATGACTGTGAGAGTGCTGGCGACACTAGTGTTAACCTTACATAAGAGGCTGATTTGAACATAAGCTAGCTAGATTCAGGTTTCTTATATGGGTATTTCTTCTGCGGCATTAGCGTAGCGCTGAAATAGGGGCAGACATGTTGCTAAGGAAAGCTGGTGTTACTCTACAAATGAAGGAATCTGACTGGTCAATCCTTATATGGCACAAAGCTGGATTTACAAAGACATTATTATTTTGTGACAGCCCGAATGTGAATCTATACATAGTTTGCATGTTTAAGAGTACCTGTATAGTGAATGCATTCTCCCGACATTGCTGAGCTACTCTTTCAGATCCTGTCTTCAACAAATAATCCAGCAATGTCAGGGCCTGTGCAGAAGTCAATAATATCAGTTTGTGTTAATTAAACCACTATAATACTAAACCAGCATGCTCGTTTGAATGTAAAAATGACCTTGTACACGTGTCTCCAGTTCTTCCCGCTGTCATTGAGCCGCTTCCACACCATGCCCATGACCTCAGCGAATGCAACCACATTGAAGGTCAAGTCAGCGATTTCTGACATCAGAGACGAGGACGGGCCCCATGGATCGTTGGACGTGGCCTCCCGGACCTGAACAGCACCACAACATGCAGCTTTGTCTGAAGGCAGCGGCAGAATGCACACACACACACACACCCGTACATGCACACATGCAAGCAGACACACACATAACTATAGCAGAAATACACGCACACACAGCTATAGCAAAAAACGACAGTGAAGATGTTTTATGTGTGGACTGTATGAAGGGGTCTATATCAAAATCATTAGAGACGTTGCATATTGAAAGACATCAGCTAAATTAACAGTTAGAAAATGTCTGTAAGTTTAATAGATGGGCATTTAAAGCGAAAAACTTAGGTCACCCTTTCCTGAGACTGGAATGTCAGAACAACAGCGAAGAAGGGGTGATATTACCTAGCGTAATGACATGATAACAAGCTTCATAACAACAGTCAAAGTTTGGCCTTTTCCACCTGTTGCTCTTTCCTTTGTGAAAATAACATTTGAGAATCCAAATTGGATGACAAGCTTGCTGTATTCCATCAGAGAGCGATTCCCTGGGGCCCTGGGTACACTCCATTGTGAGTTTTCTGCCCTGCACCCCCTTGCCAGCATGGCCAGTGTATATACTGTCTATATACGCACTGTTTGGCTCAGACAAAGGACTCAAGCTATGGTTTGTGGAAAGTGCAAGAAGAGGGTGCAACGGAACATGACTTTAGATCAGTAAAATTTTAGAAAGCACAGTAGTGCAGATGTTAACACTTGTGGAGGGTTTGATGTGTAGAGTAGGCAAGGATTGAATGACTGCTTTTAAGTGTGAAAAATTAGCAACAAAACTAAAATCTGTAAATGTATAAAGAATGCGACCCCTGAGAGAAATGAACATTCAACGTAGAAAACGGTGTAAAAGTAAAAGTGAAACATAACGCACCTTGATCTCAGCCTCCGAATAGTTGTGCACAATATTCTTCACCTGACGACGCAGGGCAGAGGTTGTCATGGCGACCAGTGATGGTGGAAAAATAGAGCGGAAAACAAACACGGACCAGCCGCAAGTGAAGGCAAAGCAGTATCCCGCTCTTTATCAGGACATCCCTGCAAGTAAAACAATATAGTTATATGAGTATTACATGACGTGGGCGATATAATCGAACACAATATAGGTGCGCAACACACATACATACACTGTAAAAAGAATTTAGTTGAACCAACTTAAAAAAACGTTTCAATTGGTAACAACTAAATTACGTTTTCTCAACTTTTAATTCTACATTGGACCAAACAGGCAGTGTTGGGCAAGTTACTATAACATTGTAATATATACTAGTCATTTATGTATGTATGTAATATAGTTTTGTTTATAATAGTTTTACTGTTCAGGATAGAGGCAGCTCTTGGTTGTCCCACACACACGTGACATTAACTCAAGTGAACTGGAAACAAAGGAGAACAAAAGAAGTCACTTTGATTGTAATAGTCATATTATACCAATGTTATTGGCTCCACACTGATTTACTTTAAAAAGGAAAGAGGATTAGAGAAATAACATTAAGTGTCAGGGTACAGAAACAATACAGTGAATGTATGGTACTCTGCCAACATGACATTAGATGGTTGTAAAAAAAACAATGACTGTATGTGATCTCTGCCTGCTGATCCTCATAGTGATGTGTTTCAAGGTCAAATGTCACTGCTAAAGTCTTACTTTAACTGAAATGTTTTGTTTACATATGGAACATTTTACGTCAAAACTACACTCGAGGGTCACGTCACTCCGTTATGGAGGAGAAATAAAGCGCTTGCGCTGTGGTCGCAGGTAGACTCAGGTGGCTCTTGGAGAGGGCAGAGGGAGGTGGGGTCCGCAGGAGCCACTGTCCCCTGCGGAGCAGACGGGGACGGTGCGATGCAGGTTGTAACCCCAGCTGCGGTGTTTTCTCCATAGGCCTACTATATTAAGCACAATTACACATACAACCCGTGAGTAGGAGGAAGAGCTTACAGCATGTCCTTACCTCAGCCATCACCCGTCCTGCCCGGTACACCGAGCATCTTCGGCGCTCGGCTGGTTCCGCTGCCTCAGCCGCTCACCATTCCCCCGCCGGGATGTGAGAGGGCGGCCAGAGATCCCCGCGCTGATGGTTAGGATCTATACTGACCGCTGCTGCAGTAAATCTTGGATCCAAGAATGACAACAGGCCTACACCGGACGACGAGGACTACTCACGCGGCCAAACGGTGCTAATATCCTGATAGGACAAGGACAAGCTCCACGACACTGTCCTCAGCCCTCTCTCACGCACTCAGGCCGAGGAGCAGGAGCGCACAGCCGCACACAGCCGCCACAGCGCGGTGCGTAAAAGAGGGGCGGTGCGTGAACTGCGTCACACAAGTCAGCATCACCACAGAGCGTCATCCAATCAACAATGACAGTGGCAGAGAAAAATACTTTGATATAAATATATACAATTTATTAAGAAAAAACAAAACTGTTGATGAATGAATTTGACTTCGTTACAGTTTTGTGGCATTGTCAATGGGCTTCCACTCATCACAAATGTCACACAGGGACTCCACTAGATTTTCCATCAATTCGTAAACCTAAAGAGTTTAACAAAAGGAAAATAAAGTGAATATAGAAGTCCAGCATAAATACCTATGGGGCATTAACCACAGTATAAATATGGCCTGCTGTATAAACAGAACACATTGACCTTCTGCTGAAGGAGCCGTGTGTAAACATCCGCGAGGTTCATGTCAGAAGCTGGATCTTCAGAGGCTTGATCTTCCACATCAGCCTCCTTGCCCCGTCTGTCCTTCCCCAAGTCAGTGCCACTCACTTTTCCTTTCTTTCTGTCCTGTGATAGAAAAATAAAATAAAATAAATACATATTCCTATTCCTAAACATAATTAAGGGATATTTTGTAGAAAAATAGCATACGGTTATAAAATATGTCATAAATGCTCAGATGTAAACAGCAGGTTCAGATTTAACTTTTACTCATCAAAAAAGAGGAAGACACTGTCCCTGAGTCGTTCAGTATAGATTATGAATAGATTATGTATTCTCATTAGAATTTGATGATCCAAAAATTGGAAGCTTGCATGATCTTTTTATTTTCAAATACAGTAGATAACGTTTTAAACAAGAGCTGTTCATATGCCTTTCTCACTGCAACAGTTATAATATACATTGATCATATTCATCTCAGAAAACCACAAGGTAGATTTTTCCCAGACTCGTTGACATCTCACCTCATTATGTCTCATGTCTTTTTTAGACTTGGTCAAACTCCTTTTCTCCCTTAACAAAGGTCCAGCTTTTTTATCCATCTTTTCCTCGTTTATACTTGGAGTCAATTCTGTAGCATAGATATCATTTCAAATATTGAATTTGTTAGAATAATGTATATATCAGCAGGAGTTCTTTTCTACTGGTTTCTGTTCCTACCTGTGTTCAAAACAATGTCTTCTTTTTTATTTTCTTCTTGATCCAGCCATGTTTCTTTCTCTGGGAGTTGGAGCAGGTGCGAGAGCCTCACAGCTTCACTGGTCATTGTGTCTAATAGCTCCCTCCACAGCAGCTGCCTGCAGGTGGCAGTATAACACCATGTTTACTACACCACAGGCTATTGCAACACAACAGTTGTAATTCCTGTCTTGTTGTTGTTTGTAGCCCTATAAATAAATATTGATTGATTGATTGACAGTAGCTCAATTGGTAGAGCATTGGCCTTTAGGCCTGAAGGTCGTGGGTTCGTTTCCCACCTCGACACCTTCTCCACCGACTCCCACTGAGGTCTGCTGTTGTTGTGTCCTTGGCAAGACACTTAACCCCACTTTGCCTGAAGCCCCCACTGAAAGATCTCAGCTCCTGTGGACTCACCACCTGCAGGAGGATCAGTGAGGGGCTGGTGCGATTTGGACTGGGTGCAGCTCTGACTGCCACCAACCCCCCCCCCCGACCCAGAAATGGATTAAGGGGAAGAAAATGGATGGATGATTGAATATCCATCCATCCGTGAATATGCACTCATCTTCCTCTAACCACTCATCTTCATCAGTCAGATTTGGCTTTTCTCTTTTATTTTGACCCGTGTGGTTGATAGGTTACTTTGTACCAAAATGATTTCTCATGGCTCAGTGCCATACTATTGAGGGAGGCGATCCCTCCAAATTATATACAGTATTTACATTATATTTCAGACCAATTCATATGTCTTTTCGTACAGAGTAACCTTCCGGTTTCCACCGTATCTTACCCTATAGTTGCGGCTTTTGCACGTTGCATCTGAGGTGAAGCTTCATAGAGCTGTAAGAGCACAGAGTTGAGCTGGGCCAGCCCTGTATCTTGGTTTAGACCGTCCTCCACCTCAGTAACGGGTAAAGAGCGCAGAGCCTCGAGAAAGAGACGATACATCTTTATAAAGTCACATGATTTTTGCTTACAATATACATTTATCAGTACCTGCCGCAATGTACTGATGGACAAATCCCACTCATTTTCTGGTTGGACTTTGTACCACAAACTTTTGAGGTCCTCAATTGGCTGGTTTTTATAAAAAATCTGCACACAAAAACAGAAATGTAATATTATTATGATCATCTATCTATCTACATGCAGGTCCATTAAAGATTATATCCATTACTTAAAATGTATGTGATGTTCAAACAATTCCATTTTTGGCCATCAGGGCCAATATTGTTAAGTAATTATTAACAAATATTGTATTAAAAAAAGTCTCTTAATAAAAAATGGTCCCCTGACCAGCAGATAGGTTAAAGTTCAATTGTTTCGCATAAGTCCCGGAATGTTCCGCGGACTGCTCTGTTCACACATGCATTGTCTTTATGCTACTTCGTTTCCATTATACAAAGGTCCTTGAAACTTTCAATCACTGTCATAGTAGATTCACAGGTTGTGTATCAATCCACATTAAGGCAAGTCATTGGCTTTGTTATTCGTCTAATAAAAGCTTTAATGAAGTGTGTCTTTTTTTGTGGTGAGGAATGTGTAGACAGATGGTGCGTTGTAAGGGTTACCTTGGGGTTTTTGTAAAGAAATTCTTCTTCTTCAGTTTGATACAGCTCTGCAGGGGAGCTGGGTCTGTGTGGTGTGTGGATCCCCTTTACTATGTCACACACTATTGTTCGACACATTTTTAATGTTACCTTTTTCTCAAACCTTTTCTGGTTACAACAATAAAAAAGAAGAACTATTTTACATGAATGCTTTTGTCAATATGTGTTGTTCTATCAGTCTGATTTTAGTACAGACCTCAGTGTACCGCCGTTGGTCTGCAGCGACACCTCGCAGAGTGACCAGGACGGGGGATCCCTGAAGTAGGACTGGATGAGTGTTCAGCTGCCAGAGCTCTGTCTGGATGCTTGGAGTATCTGACTTAAAAAGTACATCTACTATTTGGGTATTACCTGGAAGGATTACACCTGTTGGTGGTAATAATTGTTAAGTATAATGAAACATGAAAATGGGCGTTTCAAATCAGTGTTTGATAGTCGTTATTGTTCATCGCTCAACACAAGAAGTCCATGTGTAAGAATAAGAACAAAGAAAAGAGCTTTTTCTGCAGTGTCCATTATATTTTAACACAGGGTGCATGCTATTTTTCCAAATTAAAATTCCAAACTTTTTCCAGATTTTTTAAATACTGATATTTTTTATCCCAAGCCCTTAACCTGTGTGCCTACTGCATACTTCATTGGTTGAGATTATACCAACTGTGTTTATTAGAAATGTTCATTTTACCATACATTTCTTTCCATACTTTATTAAGACATTCACACAAAAATACTTTTTAAGGTCTGGATAAAAGTGTTTCAAAATGCCATACTTATTAAGACTTTCAAGACTTGCGCAAGCACCCTGTGAACAAAAAGTGTACTGTATCCTCTGATGATTATATCTGTGTTGTGTTTTTGCTCTGTGCATTTTCTGAGTAGTGTTAATAACTATATTCAGTACATTTATTTGAATAAAGAATGAATGTGTTTACCAGAGCTGGAGTTAAAGGAGAAATTGAATTTCTTTGTGCGTGGCAGTAGATGAGGAAAGTGGTGCGGCAGTGGGATCTGCTGCCAGCTGTAGAAAATGGTGGTTTTTCCTTCATTGACCAACTCCAAATGGGACAGCTGCTGTTCCCCAGAAGGGCCTTCGAACAAGATAGTGGTATTGATCCCTCCCTGGACCTGATGAATGGATAGAGGCGTGATGTTTACATGCAATGACCATTATCAGAAATACACTGGGTGAATCAAGTCAGATATTACTGTTGTTCATAGAATTACTATAATCACACAATACGAGAAATAAGGTAATTATCGGGTTTTAGATGCCGGTGGAGTACACTTAGTATATTATCACCAGATTAGTGTTTGTATTTCCAGTCCATTTTGCAAGATTCCCACAGACCCTTAAGGCAGGCACTTGTAAAGCCTTTGCATCTGGCTCTATGTCAACACTTTGTTGCACTGTGTCTCTGTAAAAAAGACAAAATAATGAATATTAAATGAAGGGGAAAAAGTGCTAGCTTAAAATTACAGCACCATAAATATTAACTCATCTACGTGCTCTGGCATTTCATTTATATCCTCTATGGATGCAGCGCGGCAAGTCATGGTGGAAACAGGCTTTGAGGAGCCAATCACTTCCAGTCTATCTAGATCCTGTAAATGTTTTTAAATCAAGCAGAAACAGAAAATGTCAATATCAAGAATAATAGGAATACAAAGGTGTAAAACAGACCCACTGGTAAAGAAAGCTTTTTCTCTTTAGTTTTCTTAACTAATCAACTATTACTAATTGACTATCCTGAACCATTGTCTCCTCATTTACAAACGTATACACTGTAAATGATTTGAGTATATTGTGAATTTAATATAATGTGATGAACAGTATCTTAGATAAATAACAACAATAAGTCTTAGAATAAAACAAATTACAGCTTTACACTTTGCAGTCTTTTGGATGTCTGTCTGAAGTTATTGCTTGCAGACCTCAGGAAGACAAGCGGCCACATGTGGAAGCTAATGGGGATCCAAAAAATAAAAAACAAAATATATGTAATGTTAAGTGTTTTACCGGCTTTTTGAAATCCACTTCCTGTACAGCCTCTGCAAGCTTCTGACATTGTTGCTTCAAATACACACTCTGATGCCACGCCCGGGATGCATGGCACACAGTATCCTTAAGTCCTACAAAAATGACATTACTTTGATGAATTAACAAATGAAACCTCTATAAAAGCAAAAGTTATGTGAGAAATGCTTGGCTGTAGTGCATGTTGAATACTGCACTAAGTTTAAACCTGATTCTTGACGTATGCTGGATGGAATGCCAATTTGGGTGCAGGGCTCCCGGATGCCTCTCTCTGTCTTAGTCAGTGTAGCTGCTATACCACTCATTTCATCTCCATAACGCTGGGGAAGCCTCCAGAATTCACCGCCTACACAGTGACCCTGAAACATGTATGACAGCCCATGACTGTAAAACTAAACCAGTGACTCAAGAGAGAATGCGTCATACATATCCAGAGTGCACAAGCGGCAAGACTTGATTTAGCATCTCTCTTTTCTCCTGTGTTTCTCTGAATCGACTGGCATGATTCATCAGCAGATTTTCAACCGGTCTTTGTAATAAACCTGCATAGATAAGTGCAAAACTATAGCGTTCAATAAAATGATATGTGTGAAACTAAAAACTCTTGATGCACAGCTTTAGGTCCTCACCAGACAAACTGTCCTGCTGGCTTCTCCTGAGCCGCATGTGTGTATTCCAATGATCCAAAGCATTTGTTTCACCCCTTGGAGGCAGCTCTCTTCTGTTCCCTTCCACATTTGGATTGTGGCTTTTTAAAACCCCAAATTGAACATTACTGGTTGGTATTTTTGGCAAAAGCTGCATTGGGGGGAAAAAATAAAAAAAATATCATGATAAGCAAATGTTACTTATTTATGTGTTTGTCCATGTCATCATATTACATACAAACATGCTATATATTGTCTTTACATTTGTGAAACATGAACAAACAGAAACAGAATCTGAAGACATAATGGGAAAGGCTACCTCTGTGTTTCCTCTGGCCTCTGCGTGACTCCTGAAGTCCTCCGGGCTGCCCACAGTGCTGTGAGGCAGCATCCCTTGTTTGTCATGACAAAACCATCCGGGTTCTAGACACACCGTTTAGAGATTAAACTAACGTAAATAAGTAAAAGTAGAGATGCAAAGGGTATGATTTTAAATATTTGCACATTCTCACCTGAATTGACGTTAAGCTCACTTGTGTTCATGTTATGTCTCAGGCAGAACTCGTCGGGTCAAATGGATTTTTCAGAAATGTAAATACAGCATACAGAATACAAAATACAGTAAGTGCGCCTTGGATAAAGCTTTTTTACGCAGCATTTGCGTTGGTTCCAAGGCTGTGCAACAGTTAGCTGGATTTAATGCTACGCTAACCTCGAACACAGGCAGTTCGATGTTTCTTGTTACCATGGAAACGGATACTTTACAACTCTCCGGAACTTGCTCTGTCGTCTTTTTTTCTGAATAAATGAATAATAATAACAATAATTTAACTTAAATTAACTTATTCGTCAGATCTGGGCATACATGAACCAAACTTACTTGTGAGGAGTAATATTGCTTTATATTTGATTGGACACAGAATCCCCCACTGATGCCAAGAGGCCCCTCCCATAGCGTGTAAATCATGGACACAGTGGAAAATGCAGAAGTCTTCCTCCCACGGACTATTTAAAGGTGTGACCCAGAGCTGGACCAAAGCAGAATTCGCAGCAGTCAGACCAGCACTGCTGGAAACGCCACACTCTATCGAGCAGAATTTGGGCTTTTCCAAAGTCATGCTGGCAAACCAAAGCGCATCACAGCACCTCGGCTCCGTGGGCATTAAAGCAGGACTAGGATTGCTCAAACTCGCCTCGTCTCATTGGAAACAGGAGATACAGACGTGCTTGGATCCAGTTATACGGATTAAGAATGGCAAAGCTGTGCAAAGCAAAAAGTCTCCTCTGGACTATTTGGCTGCTCTGATTCTTCAAAGTCACACAGAGCACAGGCACATCTCCCAGGATTGCCGAACTGATTCCTCTGGGTGCTCAACAAAGCCGCAAAACTGCAAGCGCATAGTTGTCCTTGGTGCGCCACGAGTCGGCAAAACCTCAATCTTGAGGCGATACCTTAGGGATGGATTTGTGGAAGAGTACAATCCGACCTCAGAAGACTTCCTAAGGAAATCGTTTCGTATACGAGGGGAGACTTACCAGATAGACATTCTGGATGCTTCAAAGGAGAGAGACTTTCCAGCCAAACGAAGACTATCCATCCTGACAGGTGCGTGTCTCTGTGCGCAATGCCGTGTTGACGAGGCTCATGTTAACATGTTGTTTGTATTTTACAGGAGACATTTTTCTTCTGGTATTTAGCGTAGATGACCGCAGCTCCTTTGAAGAGATCTGTGCACTGCGAAAGGAAATTTTGACTGCAAAATCCAAGCTCCCCAAATCATGTTCACCAGATCATTGCGCACCAGGGGCTTTGGTTGTGTGCGCAAACAAAGTGGATCTCCAAGAGTCTGCGAGGAAAGTGTCACCGATGGAGATTATTCAAGCATTTGGGAATGACTGCTCGTACTTTGAAACATCTGCGAAAGACAGTACAAATTTGGACAAAGTCTTTGAAACCCTTGCTATGAGAGGTGGTCTCCCAACAGAGATTGGCCCATCCCAGCACCGCAAAGTGTCTCTCCGCTCATATCAAGCCATGCACACAAGCCGTGTGCACTGGAGGGGGACCCAGGGCCCGGAGCGGCATGATCCATACGGCGCGCTCCATCCTCTGGCCCGTCGGCCCAGCTTCAGCACCGATCTGAGACATGTGATTGGGCCACAGGTCTCAGGGAAACCCAGCAAAGCACTTGAAAAATGTCAGATTCAATAGTCAATTGTAAAGACTGTAAATAATAAACATATTCACGAATAATTGTAAATGATAAATAAATTAATCTATAACCTCAATATGTTTTGTGTAGAGCGCCTTTTCAAACCTGGAAGATGAGTCATGCCTATCTCATCCTCCAGGTTTGTTTAACTGTTGCATAACTCTTCTCACCCACAATCTTCCTGTGAATGTGTCATGAACGTGCATGCGCGCGCGCACGCCGTATCCCACAAACCTGCTTGATACGTCTAAACCATAGACTGTACATGTAAATGTACACCCCTGGTGGGCCGGGGGTATTGCAGGGGAGCCGCGAGAGGTCATCAAAAAAAAAAAAATTGAATATTTATAGAATTATTGCATGTTAAATTATTAATATTTTGTTTGTAATATATTACAATATTGGTGTTCATTATTTGACTTGAATAATAAAATTGTAATCATTTTTGTATTACAATGTTAGCAGAGGCTCTTTCCCCTAAATAAAATAACGAGAAGAGCCTATTTTTTAAAGTTGTCTTCTTGGTTATTTTCGGGGGGCCGGGCAGACCCGTCAGATTTTTAAGGGGGCTGCGGTGTTACTGACTTTGGGAATGGCTGGTCTAAACAGTTACCCAAGGTGAAGGTATTGAGCATATCGGATGGACTTCACTTTAGCCATTTGTTTTCCATTTTAGTTTTAGCATCATGGATCTCGCATGTTTATGTATTAATCATGCATTTTATATATTCCTTATGAATTATTGCATTTGACGCACTAAATGTATTTACAATCATAGAAACGTTAAGACTTAACATAATTGTCTGTAAGTCAACTTTCAAAATATACACACAGATTTAATAAATCATGAATTTACCCCATAATTCATGATTTTACATCAGGGACCACACTCACACACATGCTTTAGACAATAATGGATAAGATAAGATAAGATAAGCTTTATTTATCTCACATAGGAGAAATTTACATGTCACATTCGGCATGGATAGGACACTCAGATTGTGCAAAAGGAGGAAATGTGCAAACATGTTACATGCAGGATATATATGTACAATAAAAGTGACAATAATTATGTACAACAAAAGTGACAAGTGTCAATTGGAAACAGTGTCAATAGTAGTGCAGGTTTTCACACAGTGATCATTTAAAGTGACTTATTGTACAGTCTGACAGCGGTGGGGATAAAGGCCCTGCGGTAGCGCTCCTTCCTATACTGAGGGTGTCTCAGTCTTCCACTGAAGGAGCTCCTCAGCTCCTCTACAGTCCTGTGCAGTGGGTGGGAGGTATTGTTCATGATGGAGGTGGCTTTGGCTAGCACCCTCCTGTCCCTCACCTCCTCCACAGAGTCCAGGGAGCAGCCCAGAGTGGAGCTGGCCCTCCTGACCGGCTTGTTCAGTCTGTTTCTGTCCCGCACTGTGCTGCCCGGGTCCCAGCACACGGCAGCGTAGTAAATGGCAGAAGCTACCACAGAGTCATAAAAAGTCCTGAGCAGAGGCCTGCTCACTCCGAAGGACCTCAGCCTCCTCAGAAGGAAGAGGCGACTTTGGCCCTTCTTGTGCAGGGCGTTTGTATTATGGGACCAGTCCAGTTTATTGTTAATGTGAACAAACAGGTACTTGAAGCTGTCCACCAGCTCAATGTCCTCCCCCTGGATGTTCAGCCGCGTGTGGGAAAGTGGTTTTCTCCTGAAGTCGATGATCATCTCCTTGGTCTTACTGGTGTTCAAGCACAAGTGGTTGCACTCACACCAGTCGACAAAGTCCTCGATAACCGACCGATATTCCAGTTCGTTCCCCTCAGACACACAGCCCACGATGGCGGAGTCGTCGGAGAACTTCTGCAGGTGACAGCTGTGTGTGTCGTGTGTGAAGTCTGAGGTGTAGATGGTGAAGAGAAACGGTGAGAGGACAGTGCCCTGAGGGGCCCCAGTGCTGCAGACTACCACCTCAGACTCACAGCTGCGCAGCCGCACGTACTGTGGTCGGACAATACACATTTGAGCATGCGTGCCTTGCACATTTTTCATATATGCATGCAATGTCCATATTTGTACCCTATATCAGAACTTGCATTATTTCATTATTTGTATATTGGTGTGGAAGCAATGTCACGCATGCTGAGCCATGGTGAGGGCCATGTGGAGTACATAAATTAGCCTCAATTTAGGATAGCCAAATTAAACACTGATTAAGTTATTCAATTGATCAATGCATTTAACGTGATTAAACATAAATCAATGAATACGTTGTCCCATTTGTGCAGCGTTCAAATCTGATTTAGTCTGAATGCGACTGATGGAGAATTGCACGCAATGCATGTTTCAGGACAAGTGCTGTCAAAACAGAGTTGTTGATGTGAGATTGTATCTTGTTGTTCCTGGTGCAATTAGTGTCCTTTCTAAAGGCGCACAATGAGAAGAGACAAGTCTCACGCCAACAGCAGCTGTTCAGCTGAACATGTGAAACTCTGAAAATATCGTTCAAAATTTACTTTCAATGTAAAACTAACATACAACAGACATGCAATGCGAGAAATATCAAGCCTTTGGTTTTTTTATTATTAATTAATTATTATCACATAAAACATCTCAGAAATAAAGAATCTTTTGTAAATACACTGTAAGCCATAACTTCAAACTGATAACAAATAAAGGCCATGAAATGAGTCTATCATATATTGGTTTCACATTTTCTGAGTTAGGGAAAGAAATGAACTTTTGAACAATATTCTAATTTTCAAAGGTAAGTCCAAACACTGTTAGACTTTACTGCTTACTAACAATATATAATTAATTATAGGAATAATAATTTAAAGGATATGTCGAAAAAGGGCACTCAAGTGGGATTGTGAAAGATTAAGCAATAAAATAAATGTATACACGTAACCTGGCAAAAGCAAGATTGATGATTTGTCGGACTCAAATGAGTTCTCCACAATATTCTTCGTGAACTCACGAATACCGCGAGAATTCAGCTTGCAGGCAATTGGTACACACTACACTAAACAATAAGAGTAATGTATGAAATAACAAAGACATTTTGACCCGGGGTGACCCCAGTTTTTTTCTCCCCATCCCTATTAAAAAAGACATAGTGAGAGAGAGAGAGAAAAGAGAGACACTGGATGGCGCCATTACTCCACTGTTTGTTGGTTTTGTTTTCAACGAAACGAAACTTAAGTCAGCACAACCAAACACTAAGGACAGAGGGAGTTGCCAAGACTCAACCTTTGGACCATCTCACCTGAACAGGTAACATTTGATCTGACGACAAGAGTGTCATCCTGATAATTTCTGTGTTTGTTTTCTAGAATACTTTACTTTGAAGATAAAGATGTTTTACTCCTGGAAACCATTCTTTATCTTCCTTTTCCTGATTACAGCCAATGCCAAAGACAAAAAGCCAACAGGTGAATACATATCTTTTACTTCAAAACAAATAATAATCTTTCAAGTTTAACAAGTCTAAACTTCTTTCTCTTGTCAGACTCTGAGGGGCTGAGGATCATCTTAGTGGGAAAAACTGGATCAGGAAAAAGTACTTCTGGAAACATTATTCTTGGAGAGAATGTTTTCAAAAGTGAAGCGTCACCTGAATCTGTAACCAGCAGATGTGAGAAGGCCGAGCGTAGAGACAGTAATGGTCGGCTCATTACTGTCGTGGACACACCAGGGCTGTTTGACACCAAGAAATCCAACGAAGAACTGAGAGAAGACATTGAGGAGTGTGTCGTTGTCCAGTCTGTTCCTGGACCACATGCAATTCTGTTAGTGATCAATGTAAAGTCTAGATTCACTGAAGAGGAGAAGGCGTCTGTGAAGTGGATTGAAGATAATTTTGGTTCAGATGCTTCAAAGTACACTATGCTACTGTTCACACACACAGGCCTGCTGGAGGGAAAGACTTTGGACCAATTCATTACAAAGAGTGACCATCTACTTCACCTGGTGTTCCGTTGTGGAGGAAGATACCATGAATTCAACAACAAAGACCCTCTGAACAGAACCAACAGAAAGATGGTCTCTGAACTCTTGGAGAACATTGACAAAATGGTGATGGGAAATGGCGGTCAGCACTACACTAATGACATGTACAAGGAAGCTCAGAGGAAACTTGACGAGAAAAGAGCAGAGGAAGAGCAAATTAGAGAGAGAGAGCGAATTAGAGAGCGAATTAGAGAGAGAGAGCGAATTAGAGAGGAAGAGAAAAATAAGATGAAAAATGAGATGTGTAAAGTGGTGCTTTGGTCAGTTGTTGGTTTTCTCACTGGGGGATTTTTAGCCCCCTCTATGGTGGCAGCAACCGCGTCAACAGGTCTGGCTGCAGCTACTGGATACACCTATAGGGACTGCATCAGTAGTTTTTTTGAGTGAATTATATTATGTCACATAGCAATCACTCAATTGAGACATAACTTTTCCTTTGGTTATTGTTTTTTAGCCTCAAAAGGAATGGGTCAACAATAACTACTTTAAAATGTTTACAAAGTGTATTTTGTGGTGGATTTCTTTGTTATTTGAATAGTTTCTGTCATTATGAGTGGACGCCCTGCAGTGTTGAAAGCACTGTGGGAATGTATGACGTTTATGGTGACATTAAAGTAGTGTTTTCTTTACCGTGCTCTTATAATTCATTTGTTTTGCTTAAAGATGCAATAAACGCTGTTCATACGGACAATTATGTGTTATTACTATTTGTACACTATGTAAAGATGGCAACATGAGGCCTGCTGTCCCATTACAGCTCACAGAATAAGATAGTTTGCATTTATAGACAAAAAATGACAACTATGTGTGATAGATCATGTCATTAAAATGAATATTATTTATTTATTTAATCAGAGTTACAACTTGCTGTTATATTATCATGACAGCACAGGAAAAGGCCAATCTCAGAGGTTCATGTCTGTGCATTATTAATCTAAAATACACTAGATCAATCATACAGATTTAGAAATATACGTGTACCTATCTGTGACAGGTAGTTTGTAGTTCAAATGAATACATTCAACATGCTTTCTTATTGGAGTGTATCTGGATTATTTGGACAGAAGAAGAAGAGCCAACTTTGTATAAATTCATTGACAGCTTTAGTTTGAACAGATTACAATCCTGTCCCATTAAAAAACGCACAATCTGTGTAAGAACACCACTGAGCTGCAGGCAGCTGCTCAGAGCAGTTTGCGCACACAAACCCAAAGTGACTCCTCCTTTTCTCTGTGTTCTGAGGATATGGCATATGACACACCCATACTTGATACAAACTGGAACAGGTAAAGTAACATTGTGTTGTTGTAAGCATCACAGAAACAAAGACATGCCTCATTTGTTGTTAAATCACAAACTGCATTGTGCTCTCAGGTAAGTGGAAAAAACCCCAAATATATATATATATATATGTGACCAAGCCATTGTAATATACATATTAAACTAAGGAGACTCAAATTGTCAGTACAACAGCAGTATTTATTGTATATAGGTACAAATCATGTATTCAAATGGGTAAAAATTATCTTCAACTCATAATGCAAACAGTTTAAAACCATGCAGTGCAATGTTAGATTCACAGCAAGACCATGCAAAAGAGGGGTTGGGTCGAATACAAATTATTCTAGCCCCATACATGGATAAAAAGTTACGGGATAAAACAGTGGCCAGCATCCCAAACATGGCTAACATCACATGTAACCGTGGATTCTCCTCGTGGCTCACTTCACCTTTTCAGAAGAACTCTGTTCCACTCGGCTCTCAGATGCCCTCATGCTCACTGCATGGAGTGGGTTGAGTGAAAAGCCCTAATTTCCCTCTCCCTTCATTTTGAAACCTTTGCCCCTCCCACCATTTCCTGTTTCCTGTTACCCTGTCACATATATATAATATTTTGTAAATTACATTGAAATGGACAATTAAAGACTACATTTTCTGCCACACTCATCTGGCCTCAAGGCAAGGCAAGTTTATACACAAGGCAACTCAAAGTGCTGAACAAAACAAGAAAGCATTAAAATCATAAATAATCACAGTACATAAAAAAAAAAAAGATAAAAATATAAAATCCCTCAGTTGTATGCACAGCTAAACAGAACCGTCTTTAACCTGGTTTTAAACATTGTCAGAGAGGAGGCCTGTCTCACATCTTCAGGAAGACTGTTCCAGATTTTAGCAGCATGAATCTGAAAAGCAGCCTCCCCATGTTTAGTTCTGACTCTGGGCACTAACAGGAGTCCAGTCCCTGTGCTCCTCAGAGTCCGGGCTGGTTCGTATGGTACTAACATGTCACTAATATATTTTGGTGCGAGGCCATGGAGAGACTTGTACACAAGCAGAGCTGTTTTAAAGTCTATTCTCTGAGCCACAGGAAGCCAGTGCAGAGACCTGAGGACCGGACTAATGTGGTCGTACTTCCTGGTTCTAGTCAGGACTAATGTGGTCGTACTTCCTGGTTCTTGTCAGGACTCGAGCTGCTGCATTTTGAATGTACTGCAGCTGTTTTACAGCCTGTTTGGACAGACCTGTGAGCAGGCCATTGCAGTAGTCTAACCTACTGGAGACAAATGCATGGATAAGAATCTCCAAGTCTGCTTTAGACACTATGTTTTTGATCCTGGAAATGTTTTTTAGATGGTAAAAAGCTGCTGATGTTACTGATTTGATGTGGCTATTAAAATTTAAGTCTGAGTCCAGCATTACCCCTAGATTTCTGACCTTGTTTGAAGGTTTTAGGGAGAGAGACTGTAGATGACAGATGACGCTCTCTCTTTGTTTCTGGGGACCAAAGACAATCATTTTAGCTTTGTCTGCGTTTAGCTGAAGGAAGTTGTTTTGCATCCACTCACTGATCTGTTGGATACAGTGTAGGAGTGAGTCCACTGGTCCATGTTCTCCTGCAGTCAGTGAGACATAGATCTGAGTGTTGTCTGCATAGTTATGATAGGACACTTCGTTTCTGCGTATTAACTGACCTAACGGCAGCATGTAGAGATTGAACAGAAGAGGTCCCAGGATCGACCCCTGTGGTACTCCACAGGTCAGGGCCATATGATCTGAGACACAGTCTCCAATCTCCACAAAGTACTTCCTGTCTTCAAGGTAAGACCTAAACCAACTTTGGGCGGTGCCAGCGACGCCAACCCAGTCGTCTAATCTCTGTAAGAGGATTTCATGGTCGACGGTGTCAAAGGCAGCACTTAGATCTAACAAGATTAAGATTGAGACTTGGCCTGCGTCAGTGTTCAGCCGGATATCGTTTGTAACCTTGACGAGAGCAGTCTCAGTGCTGTGGTGGGGTCTAAAGCCGGACTGAAACATATCAAATGAGTTGTTGATTATAAGAAATCTAGTAAGCTGTAGGTAGACAACTTTTTCAAGGACTTTCCCCATAAATGGCAGATTTGAGATGGGACGATAGTTGTTAAGTACCGTAGCATCCAGACTGCTCTTTTTTAGCAGGGGCCTGATGACTGCAGTTTTCAGGGCCTTTGGGAATATTCCAGAATGAAGGGACATGTTTACTATCTGTGTGAGTGAAGGTAACAGACTGCTCAGAACAGACTTCAGAAATCTAGTGGGTAGTACATCCAGGCTGCATGTGGAGGAGCTCAAACTGGAGATTATCTCTTGGACATTTTTATCATCTACAGTTGCAAAGTGAGTTTGCTCAAAGAGCCTTTCAGGCTGTTGGATTGTTATCTGTGGATTGGAGACAATGGCGTTTTTGATGCCTTGAACCTTGTCATTGAAAAAGTGTGCAAACTCATTGCATTTACGTTTGGAAGTTAGCTCTAATGGCAGCTGAACAGGGGTGTTTGTTAATCTATTAACTGTTGAAAACAGAACACGCAGATTGTTACTGCAGCCTTCAATCATTTCAGAAAAACCTTATGCAACTGCTTTGAGCGTGTTCGCCGATGCTGAAGTACCGTTTAATAATAAAAAAAACGTATGGCGCACCTCTGTGAACACATACTACTGGTATATAAAGTCTGTGGAAGGTTTCTGAACAGACACTCTGCAAAGCTGCATTATTGGAGAAAAACTTAACACAAGAAGCCCCTAGCTAAACTCTGTTAGCATCATAGCCCGCCGGCTACTTCCGGCGCGCGCCACGACTTCTCGGTCTGAAGACCCGTGCGTCTGAAAACTAGAGAATGTGCGTCTGCTGAGCGAGGCTTCAGCGTTTCAGCGTTGGCGGTCTGAAAGCACCATAACTGTGACACAATCAAAAACAAATTAGATCTTTTGGTCCCACTAATAGGAGGATCTTTGTTTACATCTGCGTGCGCATGCGCCACTCGCTGGGTGGCAAGAAGACAGAGCGGCACATATTGAAGCATGGATTACATGGAGTACTTTTAGAAGACTTAGTGGGCAAAATGCACTGTATCTAAGCACTTTAATGCAAGAAGATCAGAGGAGATATAAAGATAAGCTAAAAATAAGTATATGAGACAGAACTGAACAAATTCAAAGCCCATATGAGACCTGGGATGACAAGAAAACATTGATCAGACTCACCTCTGTCTTGGCACCGATCTGCAGGGACTCGGGGGACATTTATTCTTACTTCATAGAAAACCCGGAATCTTTCATGCGAGAAGGGTCCGTGGTGAAAAACCATTTCTTGCGTTTTTCACTGCGGTAAATCAGACGGGCAGTTTATGACAAAGCCCTTGGATATAGCAAATCATCTAAGTGATTATTTTTATACAAAAATTAACAAGCTCCGGGATGAAATGGATCAAACCAGCACTATAGACATTGAATCATTAATTAATAAAATTATGTTAGGGAAGACATGTAAATTTGAATTCAAAGAAGTGTCTGTGCGTCAGGTTGAGAAACTGCTTGTAGAATGTAAAGAAAAACCATCTGGTGTAGACAATATTGACTCCAAGTTATTGAAACAAGTGGCTGACATTATTTCTGTTCCAATCACACATATTTTAAATTTGAGTTTGCAAACTAGTATTTATCCACAAGAATGGAAAACTGCCAAAATTGTACCACTGCCAAAAAGTGCAACAGTACCCTTCAGTGGGTCTAATAGTAGACCAATCAGCCTCTTGCCAATATTGAGTAAAATTATGGAAAGGATAGCTTTTGAACAAATTAATACATATTTCTTAGAGAATAATTTAAGCTCTGACTTTCAGCATGCATATAGAGTTGGGCACTCAACCACTACGGCTATGGCTCAAATGACAAATGATTGGCTTACAGCCTTAGACAATAAACAGTTAGCAGGAGCTGTGCTGTTAGATTTCAGTTCAGCTTTTGACCTAATAGATCATAGTCTTTTGGTGAGGAAAATGCAGTGTTATGGTTTCAGTAGATCAGCGTCACTATGGATTCAAAGTTATTTAGATAACAGAAAG